CTCACAGGTGTCAATCGCATCGCAGCTTGGTTTATTTGCTATCTCGACGGAATCCTTGATCAGAGGCATCGCCCAGAACATCTCCGTACTCATCGAACCCAAACGGCGACCTCATCGACGTGGAATCGGCTGGAGAATGCGAGGGTAGACGTTGTTGAGATTTATTGTGCTGAAATCGGGGTGAGCCGTTCGTATAATGAGTCAGTTATTGTTCCTAGAATCTCACTATACGCATGAGTGTAGCCCGGTTCCAGCATCGGCTTGGTAGTTAAAGTGGGAGAGGGACGGAAGACAACCTCTTGCGCAGCGCCGTGCGCCTCCAGCTGCTCCTCATAGAAAAGTAAATGCACAGAGGCCGGTGACAGTCTTGCGCGTCCCACAAGCATTGCCAATAATGTCCCGTGCTCGCTCACTAACTGGCACTGTTGTAATCTGTGCTATAGCCCTGGGGACTTGGAAGATGGTGTGCATCAACAAGAACTTGAGAGTTTCAAAGCACCCTGGCTTCAGAACTGGTTGCATGGTGGGAAAAGCTTGAGCACCCGATTAATCAACATTGCGTTGGAATAGCACATCCCGCCAGCGACAATGATCAATATCTCAGGGAACATTGTCATCAGCATTTTTGGTACACACCACGTATTCAGTACTGTCACGAACGGCACGCCAGAATATCTAGTCCGAGCTCGGGGATTCTGACGCTATCGCTCAGCGAGACCTCAATCTCCACATTCCTGAGTACTAGCAGAATGCTAAAAACGTCACTTCAAATCGGTGTTTGTCTTGTCTCGGGCAACCAACTTGTCGAACTTCGCCTCCGTCCCGTCTCCACCGCCTCTGCTTTCTTCAGCTGAGCGGCTAGTAAGGGCACCGCCTTCTCAGCGTTCGCAAAAGACAGCTTTCGATCGATTGTCCGGTCCGTGAACAGGATGATGGCTTGTTGCCTGAGGAGTTGTCCGACGCGGTGCACCCGGCCGATGGCCTGCAACTCTTCTGACAGGTTGCGGCCAGGCTCCACAAGCATTGCTCTAATGTGATGCTTGTAGAGATTCAGCCCGGTCGAGGCGCACTGGTAGGTCGTCAGCTTTCTCCATTGCCCGCTTTGATCGCTTCTGAGAAGTTGAGAGGGTCTCAAAAAGACCTCGATCTGATCCACAGTTTAGTATATGAGCCAGGGCTAGGTCACGAATAAGTGAGCCGTCTGAGTTGCTCTCCGGACCGTCTGAGATTGCAGTCACCCAGGTATAATGGCTGGAAGTGTATGTGTCAAATCGTTGACCCTTTGACACCAGCACGAAGAGATCACCCCATACGACGAGTAGATCTGGTAGACACCATCACCGCTCTTCTTCCTCGGCGTGGCATGCTATCTGAAGTGTTCAGTTCAAGTGCGTTGGAGAGGGACACACAGGTAAGAGTCGTGTTTGGGCGAGCCCTGCCTCGTCTCGGTGCCTTCATGATGGTGAGCTGGACCAGGTGGGCTCCGCCTCGGCGCAGCGTGTTTGGCAAAATGCTCCTGCCAAGTGGCCTCAAGAGGGACCGTTTGGTCGACGGACCCCGACTCACTAACTGGTAGCGAATTTATGTTACCGAGGACCTCTCACGATCACTAGCGGATCAATAAGCCAAAACATGTACCGGACCTGACCGAAACTCACGCAGCAGATGATTCATACAAAGCCATGAATAAATATGGTATCTCCAAAACACAGACTCTGGTGCGGCGAGGAGCGATGGAAGTTGCCCTGCCAGAACTGTGTGCTTGGACTTTGCTTGTTCCGGTATTGTGGTATAAGTTTGATCTTGCAGTCTGGTTTTGGGTCCGCATCTCTTGCGATATTGGGAGCTTGACTGGCAGAGATAAGGCGGCTAGGGTGAGCTTGGCAAGCCAGAAGCCAGAACAGATCCACTCAGTCGCCCGACTGTCAGCCCCATATCCAATCCTGCAGCGGAGAAACACTGAACGTGCCGCTCCTTCGGGCTTGCCGAAGGTTTGGATTTGGAGGAGGACCTAGGACGTTATTATGGGGTATCTGCATGAGGACTCGGAAGGTCAGGAAGTCGTTATCCGTATCGATCAGACAGGGTGAACCATTTCGAAACTGAATAAAACCTGGGTATTGTGGACATTAAGAGCCATTCTACTCGAGGGTGAGCCACCATGGGGGTTTCCTTGCCGAATTTGTAACCGCGGAATTCCTACACAGGCCCGGTCTAAGCCATGTTGGCCACGTATCTGGGAAAGCCCCCGAACAGATACAGAGGAGCTGAACATGTTCCTCAATGTTCAAATGCAGACATGAAACAGGCTACCGAGCGCCGGCCCGATCGCGACTGACTGTGCTCCTTTGTCCTTAGAACACCTTCCTTCTCTCTCTCTTTCTGATCCCATCGAGCAGGAACATAGCCCCTCAATTACCGCAGTTGTACCTTCCCACTCGCTTTGCCCTGGTATCTTTGGTAAGGAATAGACTCGGACAGTCCTCCTTCGATTGTTGCCCAGCGGGCCTTCCGAGCATTCAGATGGTGATCCAATCACATCAATCGAGATCCCAAGACTTGTCCCACTATGCTCGCTGATTGTCTGGAGCGGTAACGTCGCCATCTCCCGATAGCCTTACCCGTAACTCGGATGTGATCCACGAGCACCCTCACGGAGAAGCTCAGCGCTAGGAAGAGGTCATTGTTTCAAGGATGGCAGCTGCAGATCCATCGGATCTTCCAGAGGAAGAAACTGCGGGGTCATCTCTTCTTCCAAGCCCAGGAACAACCGCAACATCTCCATTCGCTCACAAAATTGGTTCCATCACTTGATACTGTCAGGAAGATTCATCCCATACCCGAGGATGTTTCTGCGTCGCACTCCTTGTCTCTTCTCGGGGTCATCCCAGACAGCAGAAGGCACAGGCTGATCCGTGATTTCCATATCAGAAGACCCGAGTCTGTGCGCCCTCCCAGCTGATGCCTTCGAGGCTGCTATCCTCGCTGCTTTTAATGAATTCACATACGCGGACGATGTTTCCAACGTATTGCGACCCAGGCATGGGTTATCTGTCTCGGCCACATAGCAATGCCTCCAAGGGTTTCTGTCCACGGCCAGGAAATCCCGATAAATTTCAGGGCTCCCTCTGGGTTCATACCACACCCGCACAATGGCGTTCTGGGGTGTGCCAAAGTCGTTTATCGGATCCATGACATGCTAGCAAGTCCGAACACGGAGGGGTTCATTCTGGCACCACGTGCTCTTGACACACGCTAGAAAGCGCAAGCGCCGCACCCCAGGCTGATGTTCATGATATCTTTTTTTCGAAAGCAAATAGAGAGGCTTTGTAATATCAGTTAAGAAAGTTATGGCTCCGCCTGCGAGTCGAGCAGAGTGGCTTTCAAGTTTTCAGCTTTTCCCAGGCAGCGGTGGAGATACCCAGAACGGTGACACTCTGGATTGAGTGCTACCAGGGTAGTTGATAGTTTGAGTCCAGAATGGCCTTATCTCGGCTCGAAACACAGATTTTGACATGCTGGAACCTGATGACGCTGCTGTCGCTACCTCCGGTCTCGGCAGCTCGCGAAGAAGCTGTCAAGCTCAGAAGCACACTTGATTAATGCATGTGGGATGATGGATCAGTCTGTGGAGATAGGCTTCGCTTGCTGGCTCAGTCAATTGATTCGCACTTTGGCCTGCTGCTCTGTCGCGGATTGATCGCCGTCCCTTTCCGCGCAATCTTGGCTAATGCTGACATGCCCTTTAGTCCGAATGGGCGCCGTCGAGGACGCTTCCGAGGATACTAGTGTTAACGTGTCTATACCCACAGTTGAATCACTGGGAGTATGGGGTTCAAAAAAGGCATAAGTCCATCCCCGATAGAACCTAGTTCTGAGCAATGCGACATCCCTTTCAAAGATATCAAAACCTTTCATGTCAACCGACGCCTTTGGTACCGTTTGTGTTGCCGGTAGCTGCGTTCTCTCCGTAGACAGACATGGGTTACGGCGGCAAAGACAGGAACACTCGGCGTCTGACGGTGGTAGACAAGCCAAGCCAGAAGCTCCAATTGATAGGTAACGTGGAATTAGCAGGTCTAAAGAGGGCGTGTAGAGGTGGGCAAGGTCCTGAAAGTGCCGTAGCGTCCCTGGATTGTGGCTGGTTCTCGCGGACTGTGTTAAGAACCTTTGGCCAACTCCCAAAAGATGCCGGCGGGACACACATGTAATATTGGAGCTGTTTTGAGAGTGAGCCATGTCTTGCGAGAGGCTGAGTTTGGCTAACGCCACCTTCATTTGGACTCGCGCCACGATGGCCTGTCTTCCCAGGCAAAGCATGACTTCCAATCCATTGAGAGAGTAGTCAAGGATGTGCCCAAGTGCCTTCATACCTTTAGCCTTCTTACCGCTCACTGTAGATAAAAATAGATGGCTGTAGATAGGCGGCGATCAATGCCGATGTTCCTAGGCCCTCGCTAGTCTCTGCAGTTTCCATACAGTTAAGTTTCCACGGGTCAATGAGAAAATCAGCAAACAATCAGATGCGGCGAGGCCTACGACCAGGGGATCTGGATCGTTACGGCGGCGTTGATACTGTGGGCGGCGAAGATCAGAACCCTGCCCACGTCCACACCACTCGAAATTGCAATGAATCTCTCTCTTCATGACGAGGGTTTTGAGTATCACGCTGGTATCTGCCACGCTCCCTTCCGTGATAGCGCAAACGGGAATGGGAAACCGAATTGATGAATGGTGTAAGTGAAGACGCAGTCTTTGCTGGCACGGACTCAAATTCTGCTCTATGAACGGCAGTAGGCCCAGGCACGTATGTACGCAAACCACTGTCCCTGACTACCTCTTGTCAGCTTAATTGTTGATCACACTCCACGGGGTCACTCTCCAGTTACCACAACGTTTCACCAATTTTACCGTTGGGAATGACTTTATCCAAGGGTACTCAGGAACTGAGGATCCTTCACTGGGTCTTTAAAGCGTCCTTGAAATCCTCGCTGTCGGGTTCAATGTGAGGTCTTAGCCACTGAGGGAACCATATCGCACTCCGACGACTTCAAAGGCTGTTTTGCAGTCCTCACTGCGGGAGGTTCAGATCGCGCCGGTCGGAGAGGGCGTCGCCTAATACCGGTGCTTATGATAGCACCGTTATCAGGAGAGATGCCACAGGTAGAGTGGCTCAACTGTGATACGGCGCTTGTCGAACCTGCACTCTGCCATTTCCCTGTAAACCGGCCACTCAGAACATGATCTGGGGTTGGCCCGGCTCACCCTTCCCCTTCTGAAAATACCTGGGCTCTCCGGAGATGCCGGGCGATGTGCCTCGGCTTCGGCGCGTCGTGGGCGAGCCAGAGCGCACACTGCGCATCGGTGACGGGGCAGGTATGGCGCGTGACTCGCGCGCCTCGCGGGGAGAAGTAGTCCATCCCCTGGTCGGATTCACGTAAGCACTTGAGTAAATTCGTAGCGAGTCCTTCCTCCTGGGCCAAGCCGCGGGTGAACCAGTGGAGTGTCGGAGAGAATGCCAGGAGACTCAGATACCGGAGGATCGCCATGCTTTGACATCCCGCGTCGTCTGAGTTGGTACTCATGTGGCTAGGCGTACGAGTGCGGGTCGAGTGACAGAAATCGCATCGCGAACCTTAGCCAGCTTGGTACGATATGACTGATGGTCACTCTATCGAGCGTGAAGAGGATTCATACTGTCGTAGAGAGCTTGTACAGTACATGCCACATTCATGGTCAAATGCGTTCTTTGCACGTCCCGGAGCCCTTGCCAGCGCCAGTCTTTGGGGCTGCCGACCTGCAAGGGTCCCTTCGCCACCAACCGACTATACAGCCGAGCCCAAGCATTCATCGTGCGCTCCAGCTGCTGTTCAAGTCTGTCACGGAATAGCACCAATTGCCTTTCTCAACTGGGCAGCTGCATTGCCAGGTGACCATTGCCCATATACGTCTCAGCCAGGACATGGTGCTCGTCCACCTGCCTGTGCACGCTTTTATTGGCGCTGTTCGTTCGTCGTTCCTCGGTTTCTGTCCATTGCGCTGAACTGCCCCATATCAAAACCTCTCTTATTGGTAGCGGTCTGGGATACCTCGAGTGAGCTTCCAGGTTCCGGCTGACGACCATGTACCTCTTCTCCCCCGGCTCTCACGCGCGTTGCAGGTACACAGTTGTTGCGTCGAATTCGGTATAGCGGTGGCATCTTGGTACTCTCTCCTCGGCAGTCAATCCATGAAGGAAGACTGTACCAGGGTGGTGCCCACGACAATTTGCTTTTCAGCGTTGCTTCACAAGGTTTTCTTCGGCATCGCTTTATAATAGGTTCTCGCGTATCGATCCCGCCTTCTAGCAATCCCAAAAGAGTCGATGGTACTCAGCGAGTGTTCGTTGCGATTTGCACAAGCTTCAGGCTGGCGATCTCTTTTCTTTCGAAATTCAGCTGGGATTGATACAGTACAGCTTTTTGAGGTGAGTTTTCAACACGGTTCTTCTCCACGAGACATAAGGTCATGGCCATTGTGGTTGACCTTCCTTACGATCGGTGAATACTGATCTCGCCAGTAGCGCAAGGTTCGGTAAAGCAAGTGGGTCTTGCGTAAAACTTATTGTGTACAGACTGGACGTGCGGTCTTGGCCAACATGGATAATGCTCTAATGCCGTAATAGTTGAGGTCGGGACGCCGGCTCCTGAGCAGCAGGACGATGGCGCCAGCAGCGAGGTGCGTTTGCTAGAAAGTCTTCACATCTTTTCAGTCACTGCGAGTCGGCGATGTCATAAGCAATCAGGTGGAATGCGCATCGGTCAGTACAACCGCTGTTATTCCCCGGACAGGCCAAAGCCCGCGCCAGTACCTAACTGTAAAGAGCGTTCCTTCTGAGCGGAATCAACGCTACATCCATACGTAGATCGAACTGTATATTTAGAGAGTTACTTTACCATATCAAATGGTGAAGCATCTGGATATAGCTGCTGATCGGATTCGGCGAAACTCCGACTATGTAAGATGTTTTTCATAAGTGATTTTTCGATCGCACGGTTATATTCCCTGATACTGTCACTATCGCCAAAGGGAATATGCGGTCCATTTGGTCTGTTCATACCGAGGTGTCTCCTTGTCTTTCCTTTAGCACAAAGTAAGCACAACAACATCACCTCCACCTCATGCACGATAAGCATCGATTGACAAAGATCCGCTCGATACCAGGAGACGGTGCGCATGTATTTTGTGGAAGACGTTGGAGTCCGGACCGGCAATATCAACATGACCGATCAAAACCTCGAGAGATGCACAGCATTTCGGCTGTCTCTTGGACTCGTTGAGCCCGAGCCTCCGGAAAGACTTGCTGGACGCCATTCGGCATCCGGGTTGTCACCCGGAATCTACCTCCGCGGGCGATCTAATGCCTAGAGGTCTGTCTACCAAAGGGTTCTGATCATAATCGAAGAAGACTCCAGCCTGGTGCTGGATAGAAAAGGGTATATGGGGAATCCGAGCGGCTTCCTGTGAGGTATGGGTCATCAGGGTCATAGCCCGTGTCAAGGTGGGCAACGTGCGTTGTGTGTAAACATTTTAACTTTCTCGAAGTCTGCAATGCCTGGAGGTCAAGCCTGTGAAGTCTTGGCATGAAGGGATGATACTAGATTCGATCCGCACGATATCAGGCAAAGTTCAATCATGCATGGACACCCAAAGAACGGCGGTGTTGTTCAGGTCTCTGTTGCCAGTTGCATCGCATCAGAAATCCTGAATGCCAGCACAACTAGTGAGAGGGGAGATATTCGGTGCCTCTGTATCTGGCACGAGATGTGGACAGAGGGGTTTTTCGCTGCTAAAGCCGTCAGAGATGCCGTTATCGTAGTGTCCCTGGAGGAAACCATAAGGGAAATCTGAGATCTTTGCCCAAAGGGACACATGCGGAGACCAGGCGAAGCATATATATCCTGTCAATTGGCCTAACGATGTCTATCCCGATGAGGCTTGCCGGGTAAAATTGAGCACGATTGGGTTTCGCACTTTATATGAAGAGATTGCACGTAGATATACCTCCTGCCTGCATGCCAGACAAGAGGTAAACCCCGAGCACAATCACAATATAATCGTCTAGGAACCAATAAGGCGTAGGAAAAGGGCGACTAGGGGAACATTGTGTTGCCGCTTCAGGATGCTACATGATAAGAGACACAAGATACACGAGAAGGTTTTGGTGGAAAAGCTGTTGGCAGATTGCATATTGCAACACACCGAGGTTACGAACACTCGGTTCTCTGGTTTAGTGATAGCCGTAGATCTGTGCTTCGCTGAGCGAGGTGTCTTGGATGGACAACCGACGTTTGGGTCCTTTTATGAGGTGGTTATTAATTTGCAGGGAGGCAGAGGTACCCATAACACTCAATGTGCCGCGGGTCACCGCGCGGGTGGCCGAAACCGAAGTATTGTCGATGTGAATATTGACAAGTGTCAATTGCCTTGGAGAAACTGAGAGTCCGGTTCAGCAGACTGAGCATACTCAATCTGGGATTCAAACTTGTGATGTGAAGAAAAGAAAGGAATCGGAACTTCATACACGATGTTTCCTGGGCGAGAGTTGTTTCGGCAGCTCTACTACAGTCGGCCCCACATAATGATGGCTACTAGCCTTCAAGAAGTCTGCATCTTCCACTCTGCCGCCACTTGCAGCCTTGAGACAATCGCTTCGCGGCAAGGCCTGACTCGTGACGGGCTCTGCTCATCTCCAGACAACAGCTTCCCATGCCGATGCAAACTCTGGGCTCTTTGCACCCGGACGAACTCGTCCGGAATAGTATCGCCCCCCGGTCTTGTCCACCATCTTTCTCTGAGATCACGCTACCTGCAAAAGTCGTGGAAGCAAGATGTGAGCGCTGGCCACTCGCTCTGGCGTCGCGAGCGCCATCGATCCCGAGGCATTGCTCGCAGCGATCTTGCGGGGGGGCAGTGCCCACACCTTACAGCGCCGTTACAATCTCTCTGTAATGGTGTGAAGCAGCGCTAGTACTGCTCGGCGCAGGCTATGTAGATCCTGGCGATCTAGAAGCGTGCGGCCTGTCGTGCCTGGCGCTCCGCCTTGCTCTCGGTGGGCTGGGAATGGGTAATGGACATCATCTTGCCTGCTGATAGGAATCAGTTTTAGACTCTGGAATCAAGATAAGAGTGGCTAGGTGCATGAGGAAGACGTCCATTAATAGACCGATGATGAAGGTTCTCGGCATCTGTAAGGCTGTATCTTAACCTTCATGTCCACGGTAAGCAGATAGGTCAAGATGTTGAAGAGCCAGGTGAAGAAGTTTCGCACGTCGCCCGAGTGTCATAAATCCGTGCCGAGCTGCACGGAAAGGCAAGGCAAACTTCTCTCAGCAAAGTATCGCATCGGTCCTTCGAAAAGTCGGTTCCAGATTAGCACACATGCTTCACGGTAGCATGGCAACTGTAAGAGAGACTCGCAGAATCATCCCATCCTTCCATTGGGCCAGTCAAGCCCGAATCACAGCATTTTCTGACTGGACAGCAGCTAGCGTCGCCATTCTCTTTCTTGGCGCCCATGATGCAGACGAATTTCATGTGGTAGTCGGTCCGGCCGGTTTCGAAGATAGCACGTGAACACGAATTGGGAAGCCATCCTGATGCAGATGATAAAAGGCGAGGCAGAGGCCATACCACCGAAAGAGCACATTGATTCGCTCTTGAGGATGTCGCGCTGTAGATAGACACGTTCCGCAGAGGATACGAGTTCGTCACCGCATCCCAAAGCCAGGAAGCAAAGCTCATAAGGCCACGAAATTGAATGTCTGGAGGGGTGTTGCAAGATATCGAGCATGGACACGGGGACTGAAAAAGAGGAAGAAATGTATTGGGAAGGAGCCTTCCGGACAAATAAAGAGCCCATGACGTGAGATTCCTAGCTAGGGTAGTGTCTTCTCCTGGTTCGGACCGGGGTTAGCTGGGTGCTGGACGTCTGAAGTGAAGCTGCAGCCTTACATACGTTGTTTCCAGCGAGGATTGAGTCTGCATGGTCACCGCAGTCTGCTCTGCGCCCTTCCAGATCCGATGCTTGATAGGACAAGGAAAAGGGGACAGCTCAGTAAGCCGAGACCACCTCTTTCAAAGTTTGCTTGGCCGATCTTCCAAGCCCTGCCAATTGGGACTGTGGGTCATCCTGTTTGAGGTAGTCGTCCCAGTGCTTTAGAGATATGCCAGAGGAAGGAGTGGAGCCAGCGAAAAGAGAAGACAAGACTGAAGACTGTGGTTGATGTTTGACTTTCTGGACCTCCTCAAGTAGAGGTCAAGATAAAGAAGGAGTGAGAAGAGGAAAGCGAGAAGTCAAGACCGCCATGCTGGAAAGACGGGCGATATGGCCGATGCGATGCGAAGGGTAGAAGGGAAGGCAGGTGGATGATGGGAAAAGAGGATGGAGGAAAGGCGACGGAGGAAAAGAGAGCCATGATGGAAGATGCGGGATTTATATCCGATGGCTGTACGACTCCCACAGCCGTAGCTAGGTGATTCAGAGGAAGTGATGAAGATTGACCAAGGCCTTCACGGATTGAGAGAGTGGATTGTCAGACCTGTCACTGGACGGGATTCTCTCCTCGTGTGGAAATAGTAGTTATAGAAGCGCCTGCATGGTAACTGCGATAAGCACAATCGGGGACGTGAATAAGCCGACCCACCCACCCAGCAATGAGATCATCGCCTGTTCCCCTCTCACTTCTCACAGTATAAGTCAATCGACTCACCTCTCTTTCTGTTTCCCTCCATCAACATTCATTGCTTATCATCCCCCACAATGGCCGCTCTCAAAGGTTTACGCTCTACCTACCGCCTGAACTCCGGCCATGAGATTCCGATCCTAGGATACGGGGTAAGTCGCAGTCCCCGGTAATTGCCATCACACCACTAACCACACCATCCACGGCAGGTCTACCTGATGTAAGTCTTTCCTCCGTTTACATGCAAACGCAGAGATGCTAAACTGCTGCAGCCCCCAGTCGCAAACGGAGAAACCCACCCTGGAAGCACTCAAAATTGGCTACCGTCATGTATGTACGCACCCAACCTCTCACCTTCCCCCACCACCGTAATTAACCCGGTTGCCTGCAGGTCGATTCAGCAATCATGTACCGCAATGAGAAAGCATGCGGCCGTGCCATTGCAAATTCAGGCCTGGACCGGTCGGAGATCTTTTTCACCACCAAGATTCCGCCAGAGAAGATGGGCTACACCAGCACCAAGAAGGCGATTGACTCCAGCCTGCGGGAAGCGGAGCAGGAGTACTTTGACCTGTGGGTCGTCCTACATACACCCATTGCCAGTACCGTTACGATTCCACTAACCAGGACCCCAGCATCCTGATCCACGCCCCTTATGGCGGAAAGGAGGGCCGTCTGGGCTCCTGGCGTGCGTTGGTGGAGGCGCAGAAGGCCGGCAAGACGAAGTCGATTGGTGTGTCGAACTACGGCATCCACCATCTTGAGGAGCTGGAAGAGTACATCAAGAGTGGCGGAGGCGGACAGATCGATGTCGGTCAGTACGAGCTTCACCCCTGGTGTGACCGCCCGGAGATTGCGGCGTGGCTCCAGAAACGCAACATCGTCGTCGAAGCCTATTCGCCCTTGGCGCATGGGACGCGGATGGGTGAGCGTTTGCTGAAGGAGCTGGGGAAGAAGCACGGCAAGTCTCCGGCTCAGATCATGATTCGGTGGGGATTGCAGAAGGTAAGATGCGCGTTCTCTTTTTCCAGGTTAATTCATCACTAACATAAACATAAACACTGCAGGGCTTTGTTCCCCTTCCCAAGTCGGTGACACCCAGTCGCATTAAGGAGAACGCGGAGGTGTTCGACTTCGAGCTATCGGAGGAGGACATGAAGGCGCTTCAGACGGGCATCTACTCGCCGACAGACTGGGACCCGACGGTGGACTATGACTAGATGATTGAAGGTGTGCCGAGTGGATGAAGCATAATATGTAGCGTAACTACCGTAAGATAGATAGCAAAGCAAAGCAAAGCAAGAAAGGGAAGGCGGCGGGCCGAGACGAAGGGCCGATCGGAAGAGGGTCGCCGTAGCCGTTCAGAATTTCCAACCCCGCCCCGCGGGGTTTGTTGCTTAGCAATTCATTCCTGGTTGAATCTTCCTTGGCCCTCTCCCAATTTCTCCGATCCTTTCTGTCCTTCTCTCCGACATCTCCCCTGAATTCAAGTCTCGTTCTCTGCAATTCACCGCCGGTGTGATCAGTCACCCGCCGACCGCCACCATGAAACTGATCCTCTCCACCTCGTAAGTGGCGACCCTCACCTTAACTCACCCTTGGGGCCGTAGCCTCGGCGATCAACCGAAAATCCATCTGCCCTCCTGAAAATATTAACCACCTGCAGCAATCTTATGCTAGGCGGCCACCCCGTCATCCGGCAACCGACCGAAAAGTCCAATGTCGAACTGATCAACTCGCTGCGCGCCAACTTCCAAGCCGCGCAGCAGCAACACCGCTCGGGCGGCGAGGAGAACGTCCCGGAGACCAAGCAGCAGTACGCGGCGTGGACGAAACAGGAGGACGACGCGCTGTATATCCCGGCGACGGACTTCGCGCACGGGCTGTCGGAGGAACGGTCGCAGTACGACATCACGGTGAAGCTGTTCTACCTACCGGGGATCCCGGCGTCGCGGCGGTGCGCACACACGCGCGAGGCGATCGACCTGGTGCTGCGGGAGTTGCACGTCGACTCGATCGACCTGCTGATCGTTTCGTTCCCGGGGATTCTGTTCGATGCGGACGACGACAGCGAGGAGGAGGAGATGTCGTCAGATACTGGCAGCGAGGAGCCGGATAACTTTGACAGCATCATCCAGACATGGCGGACGCTGGAAGGTTTACAAGAGCAGGGGATGATCGCGCAGCTGGGCGTCGCGGAGTTTGGCAGCGAGCGGCTGGCGCGCTTCCTGCCGCACACGCGGGTAAAGCCGTCGGTAGACCAGATCAACTTGAAGGACTGCTGCGTGGTGCCCAAGTCTCTGATCCTGTACGCCAAGCAGGAGCGCATCCAGCTGCTGACGCACAACGACTGCATGGATGTGCTGCCCGTGGGCACGACACGGGAGCTACTGGGCCCCGGCGCGAAGGGGGCGGGCATCCTGGCCTCAGCGCCGGACGCGGACGACGGAATCCAGGGCGACGTGGCGCCGCAGTGGGTAGTCAAGTACACGGCGGTGGTCAAGGATCGGGGCGTGGTGGAGAGCAAGGGGTACTTTGCGCTGGCGGACGTGGGCAGCTGCGTTCAGCAGCAGCAACAGTAGTCTTGAAACCCCTCCTCCCCGTGTAGCATTTCTTTCTCTCTACATGAACCTTCCAAGCGCGGCGTTATCATTTTCTTCCAACGTGACGAACGAACACAGCATACAGTCATATCCCATTTCTATCATCACTAGCTAGCTGCACATAGAATGAACCCCATCTACCCCAGCATACTCTTCTTGCGGCCGCGCATCCTCACCTCCTCGAGACGTTTCAACACCGAGACAGAACCGCGATAACTCGCGCGATAGCCCTCGAGAACCTCAGCGAAGAACCCCTCAGTGCGGGGATGCGTACTGCCGAACGCGCGCTCCAGCACATAAAGATCGACGGCACGATCTTCATCCTGGACGCTCTGCCCCGCCAGCCCGAAATCAATCAGCACGACCTCACCCTCCAACCCCACATGCCCAAGCCCATCCCTGCCCTCATCCACAGCATCCCCTTCTCCCTCCTTTTTAACCCCCAGATTTGTCCCCCTCAATATCAAATTACTAGTCGTCAAATCCCCATGGATAACGCCCGCAGCATGCAACTTCCCCACAGCACCACCAATCCTCCGTAAAAAATCCTTCATGCGATCCTCCTCACGCTTCCGCTCAACATGGCCATCCACATCTCGATCATCGCCAAAATGCCGCAACATATACCCCTCCCACTCGCGGACGACGACCCGCACCACGTCGCCCTCCACCCACTCCATCAACAACCACGCGCCGCCGTAGCGCTCGGCTCCCGTGTCGGCATCGGTGACGGTCTGACCCTCCCAGTCGACGGCGTAGAGCGCGGGCACGGAGACGCCCTCGCGCACGAGCTTGGCCAGACAGCGGGCTTCTTGGAGGATGCGTTGGCGGGTCAGTCGGCGGTCGAGGATCGGGTGGCGGTAGGGTTTGGAGGGCCGGATTTTTAGGGCCGCGGGGTGGGCGGCGCTCAGGTAGTGGGTTTTGTAGAGGTGGGCTTCAGCGCCTTGGGTGAGGAGGGTTGGTGGGTTTGCGGGCGTGGTTTGGTGGTGGTGGTGGAAGGGAGGGGGGAGGGGTGGGGGCGTGTATTCGTGTGTGGTGTGCATGGTTCTCGGTTTGCGATGGGTGGTTGTATGGTCGTAGATTTTCTTGGCGATGGTAATGGTGATGGCTGTAAGTATATAGACAACGAGGTAGATAGATCAATTGAGCGTGATGTGGTTAGTTAGGTAGAGGAAATTGAGGAGGAAGTTGTATAGACTGTGAACGGCATGCGAAAAGTTCAGGTGGGGCAGTTGATCGCGCCGGGTTGCATGTGCTTACTAAGCCGCCTTTGTCTGCTGCTAGTTATGCCTCATCAGTTGCATAAATTATAGCTTCATATCAGCTATAATGATGTCGGCAGTAAATCTTATACTTCAACCTAGCAAAGATTGTATTTTTCTATAGTTCTTAGACAGTCTTCAGTTTCGCACATAGGATCGTTTCCTAGCTCTGAAATACGAATAGCGCCGTTGCACCAACAAAATGCACCCTGAAACACCTCATCAATTATTACTTGAAGTGAATTCAAATTGAATGTCTTGTAAAAACCTTCGCATCGTGAGAAGTCACACCAATGCTTCCAATAGGTGTCCGTGGGAGAAGAATCTGGACGCAACACACCCAATCCACCACGACGTGTCCGCTGTCCCAGCCGCTGCCCCATGATCCGAAACAAATATACATTCTCAGAGCCCTGCTTGTGCTTGATTCATACTCTGATTAACTAACTCGTGTGATAGATGGGCGGTGAATTAGATCGAAGGTGTCTCGAATGAAGAAGTGGTATAATGAGAGACTGTTTGGAGAAAATCGAGAAGGGTACAATGGTGAGTAGGGCGGTTCAGTCAGGTTGGGGAAGCCATTGGGATAGACCAACCTCATGCTGAAGATTTTTTAACAAGTCGCAGAGAGATTCGAGTACAGAAGGCAGATGCGAAGGGGGAGGAGGGTGAAATGGAGCAAGACAACGGTGTGCGCAACTGTCAAGTAAAGAGCATGATGCGGACGTAGGTTGATTAATAGCGTAGCGTGCAGTGTATAGAAAATGAGATGAAAAAACAAGATGAAAGGAGGAGAGATGGAAACAGCAGATCGTGGGTGAAAACTGTGTAACAAACACTTTGTCTACATCAACTCACCTCACCATGACTGCAAATCCCAGGTTAGAGTCTGACTCAACATCAAAGTCTATTCACTGCTACTAAAAGATTGATTTTGCTACTATGAGTGTTCATCATTACTATAGAGGGTCTCATTTCAAAAGACTCTCTGTCACGATAGATTGATTAGTTGCTACATTTTCCCCTGATTGGGCAAAAGACTTTATTTTGCATATGTAGTTTGGCTTCCCTCCCCTTCCAGTTCAGCTTCATTCTCCCATCCAAACTTCAGTATAGCAGCCTGAGTGGTCAGGCGGCGTCTGTGACCAATCAGCGTAGTGTGACAACTCATACTGCTTGACTGGCATACCGACTCTTTCTCTCCTCTTTTCGCTTCTTCTCCCCTCGTCAACCTCATCTTGAGCACAGAAATGTCGCGAGCATCCATCCTCGACCTCCCTTCCGAGATCCTGAGCCAGATTCTGCACCAAATTCTATTTGACACCTTCGACCAGCAAGTCTTTCGAGCACACAACGCCAACACGACTGCTCTTCTCCTCATCTGTCGACAGTTTTACCACCTCATCCTTCCCATCCATTACCGCGAACTCGAATTCTCCCACTCCACAAGACAAAAAGCGAGCTGCCTACTACGCTCCCTGCTATCCAATCCGAGGCTGCTCTGGCTCGTCCGATCTCTTAAGATAGTCCTACAGAGCTGTTGGACCCCTGATCCTCTCGCAGTTGAGGACTATACGGCTGCGGCCGAGGTGCTGCATCTCTTTCGCGGGGTCCAGGTTCACACGCTACAGATCTGCGGCGAGGTGGTCTTCTCCCCCGAGGACCAAGAACGCCTCAGAGTACTATTTGTGCCGGAGCAAAAGATCAGCACCGCCCGCTGGGAGCTTCTCCATCATGCCATCCGGCATCTTCCCGCGTTGCGGAGGGTGGTGCTAACGCGCTGGCGAGATGAACCTGGTTATGGGTTCGGGGGTCGATTCGACTGTCAGCTGCAGGGTTATGAGGAGCTGCGTGCGTTGCCCGGGACGTATCCGACGATTCTTTCGGCGATTTGGAGGGAGACTCGCGAATGCTGCGCTTCGTCACAGGTCTTTCCCCCTCTTCCTTCCGCTTTTTCTTCTGCTTTTTCCTTTTTCGTCTCTTTACTTCCCTCGCTGTTTTCTGTCTTTCCAGTTTCTTCTACCCTCCCAGAGGCGTGAACTCTAGAAACCTCCATTCTCGGAGAGTGAACCCCCTCGCAGACTGACCTTCATCTTGTCGGGAATAGGATAATGTGGTCCTGGGACAACCTTCGACCAACCACATGATAGACCTCAGCATCGCATTCGACGATCTCATCGAAATCGGAACCCCAGATACAGCCACTAAGTTCAAAGAATTCTACACCTGGCTACAGTCCCGCCCTCACGCCCTCCGACGCATGGTCCTCGGCGATATCAAGTTCCAGGAGCTGGGGCTAGGAGACTTCCGGGCCACCGCGTTTCCTAATCTGCACACGGTCGTCTGCCCGACCTTTTACGTGTCGTCCGCGACAGAGCCCGGACATTACTGGCCTGCAGCCGTGGTGCTCGATCAGCTGCTGGGTCCGACGGTGCAGACATTTGTCTGGGATCTGACCAGCTACGCTCAGCAACACGGAGAGGGACTATGGGAGTTCGACGAGGAACAAGCACGATTGTTACTAGCATTGGCCGAGAGCGCCGCTGCGGACGAAGACACGGCGCTGCAAACGATCCAAATCCGGTTTAACCCGGAAACAGATCGAACAGACAGTATGGGAGGGGAGGACTACCCGTGGGACCGCATAGAGCGGCTGCAGCAGGAGATTCGCGCATTGGGAATGGATCTGGAGTATAGCACTCCGACCCTAACGCGCGAAGAGTACCGACAGCTGCGGGAGGAAGAACGGAGGTGGGAGGAAAGTGCCGAGCATAAGCAGATGTTAGCGAATATGCTATCGCGAGTAGGAAGAAGTGGGGGTCCTCCGGATCCGCAAGAATGAACATACATGGACCTGTCTGTACGCAAACACCCAGCCTGGACCGGGGCATCATGATTGGAAAATAGGATATGTCTCATTTTCAGCTAGGATACTCAGCCACAATCCCGGTTCCTGGCGTAAGATTCTTATCGCATTCAACGCACAAGTTCAAGCCGATTGTCCCTGAACATTCATTAGTGACGGATCACTAAGTGCGGAAATGGGATCTCGCTCCCGCTTTCCCCACTGCGGAGTTAGTGGTGGTGGATCGAAGGATGACTCCGGGATAGGTCTATGACTTCCGTGCCAAGGATAAGGATGAGGTTAAGCAATATCCTCCTATGCGCCTAGAGTTTAGATTGTATGACACCTTGCACTCCAAGAGGCATTGAAGGGACGTTGTCTTGCAGTCCAACCATCGAACAATACCGTACAAGAATATCTATGCTACAAGGATCAATCCGAGAGCCCACTTTACTGCAATAAATGAAGCATTCCCCTCTCGCAAAGCAAGACTCCCCCCCCTCTACAACCCACCATCAATAAAAGGCGGAGGAATATGAGACTCTCCTCAAGGATAAACAAATAATGTCGTGGATTGAATAAGTCAGTCAGCCAAGACCATTAATTTTCAAGTTCTGACACGAAACAGAAAAACTGCACCTACTATCATGCACCTGTGATGAAAACGAAAAACTAACTTTAATGATTCCATGAATTAGAACTGAATCTCTGCCTAAATACACAAAATACTGCACACCGTGGTCAGAACGAGAGGGTGTTGGATCCTCATGGGAGACCTGTAGCACACAAAAGAAGGTATGGTCTCAGATCTGATGTTTGGACTCAAGACCTCAAGTACATCCCGATCATACAACTTACTGGTCCAGAGTCCAAGTTTTCGAGTTTTCGTAGACCGTTCGCCGACAAGACTTACAAAAACGAAATTTTGTCGTAGGGAGGCTGAGAGCATCCCCCCATTTTTTTGGGTCAGTTGTGATGATAAGTGGCGAGAAACAAGAGGTGTTGAACCCCTTTGATAAACATGCAGCATAGGCGAGAGAAAGTCAAGTTGTCGGATCAGGGTGTTAAACGTAGGACCACGAGTACATCCAGATCCTGGAACTAAGTCGTCCATAGAGCCTTTGTCGACTTAGGCGTGTCGTGAAGAATGAGCCAAAAGGATTCCTAGGTCTGCTTTCAAAGGTGTTATTGATACCTTCAGCGGTATGACCGTTGAGACACCTTACCTAGTATATCCTTCTCTATCTTCGTTCACGGCATCTGCAGTTGTCCCAATCCCAAACGCGGCAATTGGTCTCAAAATTGATGCAGAAGCGGCCACCACACTTGCAGTTTTTCCAGTCCCAGATTTCGCAACCCGGGAAAAAGTTGGGACACCATTCTCCGTGGCATCTATAATCAAAGGGGTTGGCATCTCCTCCACCGACCCCGGTATCACCGCCGGTGCCTCCACCACCTGTCGCGGGTGCTGCATTATTGATGTTATTGATGTTGGTGTTGACGTTGTTGTTGGTATTCACGTTGATATTTGTGTTTGTGTTTGTGTTTGTGTTAGTATTCTGATTGACATTGGCGTTATTTCCCTCGTTGGTGGCAGCAGTTGGAGTTGCGGAGGCTGTGGATGTAGATGTAAAGACTGAAGAGGTTGCACTTTCACTTAGAGTTAGAGGGGTTACAGGAGAAGGTGTAAACGTTGCCACGTTGGAATCCACATTGGCATTGGTGTTGGCATTGACATTACTGTTGAGATTAACATTCTGGTTGTTGTTTGAGTTGGCGTTCTGGTTATTATTAGCATTCGTGGTAGGTGCAGGCGTTGTTGCAGCTACTGTAGCGGTCGTCGTGGCTTGGCGACGGTGATTGTTGCCTTTATATTTTCCATCGTGGTATTTGTTGTCTTTATATTTTCCATCGTGGCATTCGCATGAGTGGTAATCCCAGTGCTTGCAGTTTGGGTCTACCCATTTGCAATCATGATGATCATCGTCGCGACGGTAATTCTTGTCTTTATATTTTCCATCATGGTAATTGTCGCCTTTATATTTTCCATCGTGGTATTTGTTGTCTTTATATTTTCCATCGTGGCATTCGCATGCGTGGTAATCCCAGTGCTTGCAGTTTGGGTCTACCCATTTGCAATCATAATGATCCTTGTCATCATGATCATCATGACCTAGTAATAACTTAGTGAGCCTCAAGGAAGTCAAATGCCACTTTTTTTTTTAATGTACCTTTAACATCTTGGTATGTGTTACCACCTGCTACAGGCGAAGCAGTAACGGAGCCAACAAGAGCTGCAGCCAAGAGGGTATAGACGACCTTCATACTGACTGATGTTCAGTATGAGATAGGCGTTGAATATCTGGAAAGTGACGGGTGAGACACTAATAATGATGGAAGCTGTTTGTGCATGAAGGACTTGGATTTCGAGCAGATATTCCTTTTAATTTATAGTATGGGAATGTTTGGTCTAGACGCATTCTTTTCGAGGCAATGGAAATCGGTCAAGGTAGGCTAGAAAATCTAGAACACAAAGAACACAGATTGAGGTCATCGGGATCAGAATTCTCTCATATGGTATGAATAACAAGGTGGGACATGACGGCGAGTAGCCGAAACCTCAAGGTTAAGGTTCCCACCGATCCCATGGGCCTGCGAAGCCTAATTAATTGTACGGAAACATAATTCTGAAAACGGATCTTAGCAGACGCACTACTTAAGTCATAACACGTCAAGATGCCAAGATACACGTCTAGATGCCAAGATGCAAAGCTTATCTTGAAAGCAACAAAGAAGCAGATGATTCCATGTACACTCGTATCCATTCGATCATGCTGATCGATCGAGCACCTGTCATTAGCCATTTCAGACAAGGAAGTGCCAACAGCCACTTCTGTGATCCGCAGGGCTACTACCCGTTTCCGGCGTGGAACCCGCTGGCGGCAAACCTTAATTTTTATAGTAACTTCATAGATCTGTACCCCGCCTAAAGCGGTTTTGTTTACAGCCGTCCGTCCCCAGATCGATGGCGTTCGGTTTAGTTGAAGCGATTGCTTTAACCCAACAAAGACCTTGTGTTCATGGACTTGGATTAAGCGTGCAATGATCTCTTGCATGGTTGAGTCATGGGCAGGCCGCTCGAGAGCCACACGATACTCAATTGCAGTGGAACACAGAATCCAGATACTGAAGGTGATCTGTGCATATCGATTATACTAGCCAGCACAATCAGGGTAGCTCTAGACCAGTCTACCAACACGCCATGTTGCAGTCATAGGTCCACTATAAGATATCCGCTGAGTAATGCAGATCTAGAAATGGATTCACATCCAAGAAGTGCAATCAAATCTCCGAAGAGTAAAACTATGGTCTATTTTTGTACCAACCTCGAGGCCACACCGGAATAGCTCGATTTTGGAAAGCCGCCCGTGGCCTTTCAAAGGCTGCACTCAGTGGTACCCGATATCATGAAGCGAAACTACCTCCACCGGGCTACCTTTTGTTCTTCCTCCTCTAGGGAAATCCCGGTGACCAGTTGTGTTTCCCGCTTGGAATCAGCATGTACACCAGGATCTGCATCGGTCGAATTTGTTCCAGACCAGCGAAGACGAGGCCCTTCCAAATCTTCAAAAATGCGCTACCCTCGTTCTGTACGATCGATACGAGATCTTGGTTCAACATCGGGCCCAGCAAGTATCGAGACTTTCTTCTGTGAATCACGTGTTTTTCCAGGCGCTGGATCTGCTGCCTCTCAAGCGAGTCCACGGCAGAAAGGAGCAGAGCCCACGTATAGAGTTTAGTATCTCTTACGATTACGAGCAGAGGTCCATTATGGGCTTATGACGCTCGGTTAAGCCAAGAACGCCAGTCTAGATGGCTCGAAAGTCTGGCCCTGACCCTATTTCAAAAATAGGATTGTCGACCGCATGCATTCACGAGCCTCGTCGAAGATCCTGATGGTCTCTGCGCCTAGGCCTCGAGTTCCCTGGGATCTTCTCGTTTCCCGCGGCGGATATACATCAAATTGTGCCATCCGCCCCATGGTCCACCGAGATAGGATGTCGTTCATGTGCCCTTCATCGGCCATTGGACCAACCTCGTTCCCTAAAGTCGCCTACTTACCGACAACAAGAATAGAATCGTATTCTTGTTCCACTAAGCTCGCGAACGCCAAGGCTTCCTGCACCGAGTCAGCGGCGGAGGGAGCGGAGAATGCCCAATATCTGGAGGCTAGCTGATCGGGTTCCAAGTCTGCCATGGGACAAGTTGTGCGCTTGGTCCAGCGCATCTTTCTCCACAGTTCGCGTCATCGGCGCTTTAATGAGGCAAATACTGGCGTTTTGTAGAAGTATCCGCTCGCTTGCCAAGTTGTACGAACCCAGGCCAATTTTACCCCTCAGGTGGCGGGATGAACGAGGGACTAGGCCATGCCTATATGCAAAGTACGCTAGCTATTCCCTTGGCAAGTATCACCAGCATTCAGTCCCCCAACGCCGTAACTGGTCTTCTGAGACTGAGGAGGTTTACCTCCCAGCTGAGAGATTACGAGAAGGATATTCTGCACATTTCCTGCACATTTCCCTACTTCAATCAGGCCTCCGTTACTCTATACCAATGCAGCAGGCTACCTTGTCCAGGCAGATTTCAATCATATTCTGAACGCCAACACAGCATGAGCAAACATGATCAATGACAACAGCTACTCCGATATTCTAATCTACAAAAACGTCCGTTGGGTCTCCTGCAAAGAATTGACAAACAAAGCAGTGCAGCTGCTGCTGTATATAGAATATAGAATAGACAACACCGCGAACTGGGTAATCAATCTGGTCAATAATCTAGAGACAGCTCTGGATAACTCCTTTGGCAACATCACAGGTGGCCAGGAACTGGGCATAAACTCATTAGTCCAGGTGTGGCTGGACAGTGCCGACTCGGGGCATGGACTGTGTGCCTCGTTACTCACTCAGCATGCTTTCATTGTCTCTACCCACCCTCACCCCTACGATATCAATTTAACCATCACATTCTAGCACTCAGCTCCGACTTAGTCTACCACTATCGGAAGAACAAAACTGGCACCACCTTACCTGCTGTAAGACGGCATGATTTCGCAGCCGTCAGTCCAGTTCCGTCAGTCGTACTGGTAGACGCTGCCGCCACCTAGGGCACGGAGCTTGCACCCCCAAACTGCGGGCTCGTGGACGAGACCACCACAACAGTAACGTTGAGATATTGATGGCTCACGGATGGCTGCTTATAGCGTTTTCTTGATTTCTTGCTGGTATGATGATGTTTGAAGTAACTAATGTTTCAGTGCATATTAAACTCGCTTGGTAAATCGCTCTGGATCGCATAGCCGGATTCTCCGCTATACCGACAATCCTCGAGATAGTCTGCCACATGAAACTAAAGTGGTTTCCCAAAGCAGGAATAATAATATATAGATCACTCACAGGTGCCGGAGCAACTCTCTCGCTTCCAGCAGTCCGTCTCTCCCACCTTTCAATAGCTTGATTCTCTAGCCCTTGAGTTCTCTTTTGGCAAAGCCTGACAGCTGCCTGTACTGAAGGAAGACATGCGGTGTTCTGTGTACCAACCATTATAACAAGGATTGTTCCACCCATTTTGGACTCCGGGGACGTGAATGAATCAGGTAGCTTGTAAGGGTAACCCTACCAGAAGTTTCAATTCAGAACGATAAAGATAGCGAACTCCAGTGATAATAGCAGTGGCTTCACCGTCAACAGCTGAGCCCCTACAGGCGCAGGATGAAAACACTACAAGTCGAAGCCGCTGCCGCCGCGGCGGTGATAATAGCAATAATCACCATTAATCTAGCTCGATGTCTTCCTGCTCTTTCACAAATATCTCTACTGCTACGGCAACAGTCAAATAGACAGGCATCTTCACCACAGACATGGCGATCCTGTCCTCACGTCTCTTCCCGTCTCAGTCAACCAGCACGGTGCTTTAATACATGAATTAATATTCCTCGTTAGTTCCGTTGCTGGGAGGAAGGAATCACGCGCGCAAGATGCTCCATCTGGCAATGGGCGAATCCTGGGATAGGGGCTTAGCAGAATACATCAGCAGCCACTAGCACCTTTGGAAAAGGTCTAATATTCCCTCAAATGTCTCGAACTACTCGGCCTTTCTATAAAAAGAGAGAATAACATGGTCCTGTCCAAAAATTTACTCCATAGTAAATTACAACTAACAATTATATCGCAGTCCTCCGGATGGAGTCCAGACCGGAAGAGGAGTGATGTCACAGGCCAGCAGCACGCGTCACTAGTCCCAAGTCTCATGCATCACGTGCCGTTGGCTTACTACTCGGTCTTTTCCACTGTGTTCGTGGCCTATTTAGATCTAATGGAAGTACGGCGGTGGTTAGCGGCCAGTATGAAAAAAATGAATATTGCCGGCAGAATGAGCCGTGGCGTGGGGAGGGGGCGGGGGCGCGGGGGTCGGCTATTAGGTGGTGATTGTCTTATGGAGAAATTCTGGAATAGAAACCCTATTCTATGTTTAGTATATGCTTTAGAGTATGTATAGAGTTTAATAGGCCTAAGAAAGGTATATAAAATCTATAGTATCTTCTATAGACATAGACGGTAATACCTCCTGAGGATAAGAAGACCCTTATCGTAATAATCTACATAGAATAAGGAGTTATCTGATAGTATCTCTTCTTATCCGAATTTACAAGCTAATTGATATCCAGTATCTATCTCTAATACGGTCACCACCTTGGTAGGCGGTCACCGCTGCAGCGAGAATATTAGTTAAGAGAGTTCATTTTTTCATACTGGCCGCTAACAGCCGCCGTACTATGAGAAGACTTACTTCTGCCCCCCACAGTCTAGAGATAGTATAATCGAAAAGAAAAAGGAGCAGGCAAGCAGGTAAAGCACCCTATTAGACTTCAGATCTATTCCGCTTGGTTGCCTGACTGACCCCCTTGGTTGCTCAATAGCTCAATTGATTGCTCACCGGGCTCACCGGGCTCACCCACTTTGAACGAAGTACTACTCGTTCAGAACCTTGTATCACGCGGTTTTGACCACAGGAACAAAAGTCGAGCAGAGTCAAAAAGCACATAAACAAAACAGCATAAGGAGGGAAAAAGCAAGAAAAGACTTGAGAGACCGGAAGATGACAGATTCTCGCGGGATCGCATGTATCAAACATGTCGCAACCTTAGCCTACCATAAGAGTGAAGCTACCCGATCGTATATCACCAACGATAACTGGCGCTGTTAGGCAATTGAACCGCTGGATTTGATCATATAGGCACTTTACAATCGGACCTGTACATATACAGGTAACTGTGCTGAACCGCTTATTCTTACATATGTGCATTGTAATGGAGAGTCTCCCAAGGTGCAGGACTTTTCGCATGTTAGCATCCTTAGTCATTTCCTACGTTCTTAGTGTCCTACTCACTGGCGAAATAGTCGATGCGTGGTCGGTCCCGACCCGATCGACGTGGGAGGGAAGGATCGAAGGGGGTTGCCCGGCAATCACAATTATGCACTCTTAATTGACTTGTACCATGTTCAATCAGACTGTTGGGGGAAGTATTTTCCGATTCTGCCAGGTAGACTCCTGGGCTTGGGCTTGGGCTTGGGAAGGTTGCTAATGACCCCTAATATGTTAACCGAGGTGGGTAAACCCATTAATGCCTGTACGATCCTACCTAGCTAGGATTATGAAATTATATATTTTCAATCAGACCTAAACATCTTGCAGAGTCCCCACGAAATCAAGATGATTGATCTGCATCATACTTTCATCATACACAGCAAAATCCTTCAGGAATACACTACTAGGTAGACGGGATACAGTTTTTCAGACACAATAAATGGAATATAGTTTCGTCTGCTCGTAAAGTACAAGACAGTCGCCTCCCTCGCGGTGATCGCTAAATCGTGACTATAGTTAGAGTACATTACTAAACGCCTGGTATGCGACCGACTTTTCCATGTCCAGAATCAATCCCTTTTTATACAATCTCTAGCAAGCTGCCGCTTCAAGCCCGGGCCTTGCGCTTGGCCCGCGCCCGCTCCAGAGGTGCCTCGTAGACATCCGTCCAGGTATCTTCGAAGGTGGTCTTGCGTGGTCCGATCTGTCCCTCGTAGAAATTCATCTTGCGCACGACCTCCATAGCGCCGGTACCCAGGGACACCGTCTTGCCCATGATGATACATTCGGAGACACCCTCGATCAGATCCGTGCGGCCGGCACCACCGGCATCGAAGAGATGGTCGGCGGTCTTCTCGAAAGACGCCAGCTGCAGGACCGAGTCACGCATCTTGGCGAGACCGAATCGCGTGATACCCAGAACTTCACCCTTGTAGGTCATGACGTCGGCCAGAAGCTGCATGTGTCGAGGATCGATGTCCATGTCCTTCATAACCTCGCTGATTTCCTGGACGATCGTCGACCGCGCCGCTTCAATACCAAGCACCTCGCGCATCTCCATGATGTTGTTGGTCTTTGTGCGGAGACCGTCCACTCCCATCGTGGTCATACACGCCCTCAACCCGTAACCTTCGACCAGAAGCGTGTTGGTAGTCGACGTCTCATCCGTTCGAATAATCGCACGGTAGGCCTGGGGGTGACCGAGGACTTGGATGTCAGGGAGCATCCGCTTCAAATGCTTCAACCGCAGGAAAGGGTCCGCACTGGTGTGCGCAATCTCTGTCTTGGATAGAGAAGCTTTGCTGGAAGGCTCAACATCCATGTAGACGTGAATGTGTGAGCGCGAGCAACGGAACTTGAGATCATCTGCCTTGAAACGCTTGTGACTCTTGATCGCCGCAAGAATGTTGTCGATCTTCAACTCCAGAGCCAAGTCCTGGATGGTCTTCCAGTTGATCTTGACGGTAATATAAGCTTCCTTGCCGGTCCATGTCTCACGGATGTAGTGGATAATATCACGTAGATAGGTCTGCTCAATACGACCCTTGACGATACGGGCAGCAATGATGTTGTCCTTGGTGACCAACTCACAAGCGACGACAGGCGTACTGATCTCCTTGGAAGCGTTGATAATTTCCTTAATACGGGGGACACCCTGAGTAATACTCATACCAGCGACACCAGCAAAGTGGAAAGTCTTCAACGTCATCTGGGTACCGGGCTCACCGATGGACTGCGCACCGACAGCACCAACGGCATGGCCAGCCTCAACCTGGGCCTTCTTGTACTTCATCAAACACTCAGTGATGAAAGTCCGCAGGGTACGCTCAGTCAGCTTGCCCGTGTGATTCAACCCCTTTTGACTTCTCTCGTCAGAGGGGTCAAAGTCACCACCACGGGAAATGAGCCTGTCCGCCTTGGTGGCGACGTACTGCTGAATCGACTCCAAGAAGTCACGGGCACTCTCAAATTGATCAATACCATGGTCACTGCGATCCATGTATGCAAGAGTGTTGCCCATCAGATCTTTACGGACCAATTTGGCGCGCTCCTTCGAAAGCATCTCCTCGCAGACTTCCATGATCTCAGCAGGTAGCAGACTCCGTTCGTCGTTCGAATAAGTGATAGATTCCGAATGGATGAAAGTCCGGTCGAAGTGGACGGGCTTAGCTTTACCCTCCATGTCCACGGGGTCCAGCTTATCGTCACCGTATTGGAATTGGACGATCGCTGCAGAGGAGTTGCGCACGGTGTCATCGTATCTGGTGGAAAGATCTTCCAGGGACTTCATCAAACGACGAGACATGTAACCGGTTTCAGCCGTCTTGACAGCAGTATCAACCAGACCTTCACGACCAGACATGGCGTGGAAGATGAATTCCGTAGGCGTCAGACCCGAGAAGAAACTGTTCCGCACGAAACCCTTCGACGGAGGCTGACGGGCATTCTTCGGGAAGTGAGGCAGGGTACGGTCCTGGAAGCCGTCCTGCACACGCTGGCCACCGATAATCTGCTGACCGACAAGGGCCACCATCTGGGACACGTTGATACTGGAACCCTTGGATCCGGATGTGGCCATGATCAAGGGGGAGTTGTATTTGCTCAGTTGAGCAATACACTCGTCACCAGCCTGTTGACGAACCTTACTGAGAATACCGGAAAGCTGGTTCTCCATAGTTTGCAACTCGTCACAGCCGGGATACTTCTCTAGCGTACCAGCCTTGTACTTGGCAATGACCTCGTCACACTGCGCGTAAGCTGTCTCGACCAGATCGTGCTTCGAGCGCAGCAGCTTTTCGCTGGGATATACGTCTGTGATACCGATAGAAAAGCCCATGTTTGTGAACCAACGAGCAGACAGTTTAGACAAGCGGTTCATGCCCTCGGCAGCGGCCGCTGGCCCAAAATCTCTCAGCATAATATAGAACACGTTATCCTTCTTTCCAGAACCAATAGTAGACTTGTCCATCACACCACACATGACCTCGGAGTTACGAATGACGAGCCAACCGTCCTTGGGGTCGAGATCCTTGGGCGTTTTATCCTTTGGCATCTTGAATTCTCTGCAGGCAGCATCCAGGTTGACCAAGCAAGGGTCGTCCTTGTTCGGCCGCATGAGGATATTGAACACTTGCTTTCCGGTCCAGAGCATCTGGGGCTTAAGCACGGCGGGCGGAGGAAGATCGAACCGAGTTTGAGGACCAAGCATGTAGAGACAAATTTGTGTGAAGGAGCGACGGTCAAAGAAGTTGTCCTTGCTACTGAGGACGTAGGCAGCACTAATGAAATCCTGAATGGCAGAAATGATAGGCTCTCCGTTCTTAGGCGTAGCCAAATTGTTCTTGACACCCATGAGTTCCATGGCTTCAGCTCGCGCTTCTTCCGTCTGGGGAACGTGCAGATTCATCTCGTCACCGTCGAAATCGGCGTTGTAAGGGTTGCAAACACACTCGTTGAGGCGGAAAGTTCGGTGGGGGCGAACTTTGGCGAAGTGGGAAAGGATACTAAGCTTGTGCAGGGAAGGTTGCCGGTTGAACAGGACAATGTCACCATCCTCAATATGACGCTCGATAACGTCTCCCTCTTGGAGCTGGTCAGCGATCATGTTCAGGTTACCGTACTTGAGGAAGAGCTTGAATGTCTGGCCCTTCTTCGTGATATAGTTCGCTCCGGGCCATTTCTTCGTTCCGTTTCGGACTCTCTGCTGCAATTTCTCCTTGTTATAGCGAGTGACGACTTCGGGGTAGGTCATGTTCTTTGCCACCAGCTCTGGGACAGCGACCTCATCGACACGCAGGTTGGGATCAGGGGAAATGACCGTACGTCCAGAGAAGTCGACACGTTTTCCAGACAAGTTACCACGGAAACGACCTTGCTTTCCCTTCAGACGCTGGACAAAACCGCGAATGGGTTTGCCCAAATCTGCCTTGTTCAGACCCGGGACATCACTGTTGATGTATACTGCAATTTGCAGCTGCATATAGTCCCAGCATTCCATGATAGTCTGCACTGGCGCACCCTTGAGCAGCGCGTTCTTGAGGTTGATGTTACTCTGGACGATATCTCCCAACTTGGCAGTCAAGTCATCCTCGGTCGACGCTGCATCCTGACCGACGGAGGGACGAATACAGACCGGAGGGGCTGGAATAAACTGCCAGAGGAACATCTCGGGTCTGGCTTCCTTCGGGTTGAGACCCAGCAATTCACAGTCGGTATCGGAGATCTTCTTGAAAAGGTTGAGAACACGCAGAGCATTCATGTCATCCTGGGCCTTCTTGTAATGTTTTTCGACCTCCGCATTGGACGTACGCGCTTCGTCGAAAGACCGGTCAAAGACGATCTTGCTGGGCGGGGGCACCTTCTTGACGGAGGTAGAGGCGTTGAAGGCACGGAATTTGTCGTGGGTGATTTTCAGGGCGCTGGTTCCGGCCTTCTTGACCACACCGTTGACTGCACCACAGTTCTCACAGTTGCGAGTCTTCTTGCACCGCTCGTTAATCCGCTTCGCGATCTGCATCCGTCGCAAGTTGTCCAGGCCCGGGCGACGCATTTCACGGAGGAAGGCACGGCGATCGGCTTCAGGGAGGAGGATGTGGGAGCATTCTTTGCAGATTTCTTGTAGGATGGTGATGACTCGCTTGAAGTAGCCGACGTGGAAGGAGGGCAGGACGAGCCTGACATGGCCGAAGTGTCCGTTGCAGACCTGGAGTGCACCACCACACGTCTGACATGTTGAGGACTTGTTCGAAATACCCATGCGCGCGTCGAGGGGACCATTGGCGACGACAGCTCGGTCATGTTCGAGATCGAAGAATTTCCGGTCGGAGACTTCCACCACACCTTGGCTAACGATATCGTCGTTGGACCTTTCGCAAGACAGAGTCAGCATTCGCCCAGGCTGCTTCCGGGACACATAAACGAAACGGGAAGACAGGAAGGAGTCGGGAGAGCAGAGACTACTTACAGGACACCGAACTTCAGTTCCTTGATAACTTTGGGGACGCGGTCAATGACCTGGGCCTTGCCCAGGTCGACCTGCACACCTTCTGGAGGCTGCATCACGGTGGTCAAATGATGATCATGGCAAGGCGACAGTGACTCAGCGGAGATGGAAGTGACAGCGCTGATAAGGGTGCGCGCTCGAGAAGAAAATCACCGCAGTAGTCGTCAAATTGTCAAGCAACACGCCACCAAAGACCCGTGAATGCGGTAAAATCGGAGAAGAGACGGCGGGAGGGGGAGAAATTGCAGACCATTGCGGCGGCGGGGTCGGCGACGAACTTTTCTGCGGTTAATGTGGAAGCTCCGTCCCAGTTCAGCTCCCGCCGCTCCGCCCAATCAGAGCGGGCGGATACGGGGAAGCATTCTTTACTATGACAGGTAGAGTAGACATCATGAATTCAAACACTTGTATAATTTATGACAGGTAAGAATATGTGGGTTATATTGTACAATTAGCTTTGAACACCTCCAAAACGTCTTACTTCGACAAGAACGCCTGGAACGCCTTCTGTTCGATCACCACATTGCCCACAGCCCGCAGTCTCTTGCGGCCCTCCTTCTGCTTCTCCAGCAGTTTCCTGCGTCGACTGACATCACTAGCATGAAGCTTAGCCAGCACATCCTTCCGGTAGGGCTTCACCGTCTCACGAGCGACGACCTTGCGACCGATAGCCGCCTGGATGATGACTTCGAACAATTGCCGATCCACATGCTCCTTGAACTTAGTCACCCACTGTCGACCGAGTCGGTCCGCTTGGCTGTAATGTACAATGCGAGCAACAGCATCTACGGGGGCTTTGTTGACCAGGAGCTGCAGTTTCACGATATTGCTCTGCCTCCAAGCCGACTCCTCGTAATCCAGAGAGGCGTAGCCCTTAGTGTTACCCTTGAGCTTTCCAAAGAAGTCATCGACTAGTTGCGCCAACGGAAGTTCGTACTTCAGGATAACCTGAGTGGAGGTGAAATACTCGAGGCTCTTCTGTTCACCGCGGTTATTTTCACAGAGTTCGATGACCTTTCCAAGGTACTCATCCGGGAAAGTCAGAGTGGCCGTAACGTAGGGCTCGTGGAACTCCAACACCTTCGCACGTGCTGACTCATCGTCGGGGAACTTGGCCGGGTTGCTAATAATCTCCTCTCTACCATCTTTGTAGACAATCTTCACGGGAACTGATGGGGGAGTGATGATGATACTGGCTCCATGTTCCTGACGCAGACGGTCCTCAAACACGGAGCAGTGGAGCGTTCCCAAGAAACCGAGGCGGAAGCCGGCACCCAGGGCTTCTGAGGACTCCTTTTGCACCGTGATACTTCTGTCATTCAGCATGAGTTGGTTAATGCTGTCCTCCAGGTGCTCGAAGTGATCCGCATCGACCGGATAGGCGGCCACGAAGACCATCGACTTGGGTTCTTCAAAACCGGGCAGCGGTTCCACAAGCTTTTCCGATCCGACTTTGGTGTAGGTATCACCAATCTTGGCTTCCTTGCTCCGCTTCATACCAGGGTTGAAGAACACGTAACCGACCTGACCGGCACGGAGCACCGTCTGCGGGGTCTCGTTCGGATACATGATGCCGACCTCGCCCACGAAGTACTTGAGTCCGGTGGCGAAAGACACCAGCTGGTCTCCCGCTCGGATCTCGCCGTCAAAGACACGGACCAAGCAGATCACACCCTTGTAGGCATCGTACCAGGAATCGACGAGGAGCATGCGGAGGGGCTTGGTGTGATCACCGACGGGACTATCCATAGTCAGCTCTAGCATCCGAGTAGAGGAGGTGGAATACGTACGCTGGGATCCGATCAACGACTGTAGGAAGTAGCTGCTGCACATTCAGACCAGTCTTCGCGGAGACCAGCACGGCGCTGTCCGTGTCCAGCTCGAAAGAATGCTTCATCTGTTCGAGGGCACGTTCCGGCTCGGCCGACGGCAAGTCCACCTTGTTGATGACCGGGATCAATTCCAAACCTTGTGAGAAAGCGAGATAGAAGTTGGCAACGGTTTGCGCCTGGATACCCTGACTGGCATCGACCAAGAGCAGAGCGCCTCCGCAGCTGGCATAACTGCGAGAGACCTCTGCACGGAAGTCCACATGGCCCGGCGTATCGACCAGATGAAGCAAATAATCCTCCCCATTATGGTTGTATAGCATCGTACATGTCTGCGCCTTGACTGTGATACCACGCTCGCGTTCCACATCGAGCTTGTCCAGGACCTGCTTATTGCTTCCAGCTTGAATCGTACCCGTCAGCTCCAACAGTCGATCGGACAGTGTACTTTTTCCATGGTCGACGTGCGCGACGATACAGAAATTGCGAAACCTGTCGATTGGGATTGCGGCGATCCTGTTCTCGAGATCCGATTTCTGGAGCCCGGCACCTCTGGCGGACCGCGCGGCGGAGTTGGCGAAAAACCGGACGGAGGTAGGAAGGCCGAATGGCGGCTGGAGTAGGCTAGCAGCAGAGCATCTCGGCGCTGCGCTCAGCCACCTGGCTAACTGCAGGCATCCTCGCATTGGGAGTTCTGCACTTGCATGGGAGTGAACCGATGATGGTGATAAGGAGTGACACGGTTATTGACTCTTGCGGGCGGAAAAAAGTACGGCGTTGCGGAGAACTCGACGGCGCGGGCGGTGGGCACAATTGCCGCGGCGACAAATGGGGTAAACAAAGCATCCTCTTTTTCCACTGCACCTCTCGCCGGCAACAGACAACACTCAATCACGTTCCAGGTTCATATAACAGTATTGCATCATGCCGGCCGCAAAGGATAAATCCAAGGTTCACAAGCTGTCCTTGAAAGGTACGACTGCTCGTATTCCATGACCACCAGCGCAGAACGCTCATGAGCAGATAGGATCGGCGAAGCTGGTCGCAGAATTCGTGAGTACTCTCATTATATTAGTGGCTGCGTGTGGCTGACAATTGCAGTTCGAATATTCCATCAATTCTATCCTGTAAGTGACGGTTAGACCAGGATGACCTACCTCGATTGACTTTAGGACCAGTTTCCAGCGGGGTGTCTATCCTCCGGAAGACTTCACAACGTGAGTACCAGTTCCCCTCTGTTAGACCATCTTCTAACTTCTTTATCTATAGTGTTAAGAAATATGGTCTCAACATGCTCGGTTGGTCCATCAATCCTCATCCTCGGTACCTCTATTGACCAGCCCAGTCACCTCCGACGATCAAGTGAAGGCCTACATTAAGAAGATCATGTCGCAATTAAACAAGTGGATGATGGGCGGAAAGATTTCGAAGCTCGTTGTCGTGATCACAGATAAGGAGACGGGCGAGCACGTGGAGAGATGGCAGTTCGATGTACATCCACCGTTCCTCTCGGCATGCGCAGGCTAACCGGGACAGGTTCAAATCTTCGGGAAACACTCCAAGAGCCAGTCCTCAAAGACTGTTGGTGACAAGGAGAACGCCACACCAGGGTAAGTCACCTTTCTGCCTCGAAGAGTTCGTCCGCTAACCAGCCTTTCGCAACAGGGACAAGGACGCACAGCCCGCGACGGTCGAGAAGACGGAGAAGGAGATCCAAGAGGAGATCCAGGCGATCTTCCGGCAGATTACCGCGTCGGTGACCTTCCTGCCGGTGCTGAACGGCTACTGCACGTTTAATGTCTTGGTGTACGCGGACGCGGACTCGGAGGTGCCGATGGAATGGGGCGACAGCGACGCGAAGGAGATCAAGAACGCGGAGAAGGTGCAGCTGCGGAGCTTCAGCACGAACAACCACCGGGTGGAGACGCTGGTGAGCTACCGGCTTGCAGATTGAGGTACTAGGTACCTATTAGGGTGTTCTTTCTTATGCAGGCGTTAAGGGGTGGGCAGTTGGGATCTTGTTCTAATGTTAACTCTTCTCAATGAATTATGAAAGCATTATCAACCTCTTCCTCACTTATACCAAGACAACGCCATCCGCCCAAACCACTCAACCTAATACTAAGACAACCCCAGCCTTACAACATTTGATACACAATACTAAGAATACCAAGGCAACCCCTCCATCCCCTCAAACAGCTGATTCCCACTAAGTCCACCATCCCACCGAACCAACGCCCCCACCACTTCCCCCTCCTCCCCCTCAAGACCCCTCAAAACCTCATATACAGAACCCTCATCCCACCCCCTCCTAACCCTCTTCCCCCCCAAAACACAGCCAGAACCATACCGGTCCCCCCTCCAAACCCCAATCCCCCCCTTCTCCTCCCCCTCCACCAGAACCTCTAGCGGGGTAACATCAGGCGGGGGATTAATCCCAACCACCCGCATCTCCACGCCACCACCATCGACTCTTTTCCCCAGTCCCAGAGCCGGAAAATGCACTTCCAGGAACCTTGCGCGCTTGAACTCGTGGGTTACCACCGTTATCCTGGTGGGATACCGGGCTGTTACGGACCGGAATTTCAGGAGGGAGAAGAGGAGGTTTTGGTGGGAGTCTGTTGCGTGATTCTCTGTTGTTATTCTTGTGGTTAGGGAGGTGGTGCTGGAGCTGGAGATAGAGGGGGTGAGGTTAAAGAAGGCGTTGTCTTTTGCTAGGTTCTAGATTATCATTTGGTTCATTTGGTTAGATGGCGTATGTACTGTACTGTTTGTAGTTCTTTTGGGTCTTTGTGGTAAGGGAGGTAAAGCTCAATCAAGCTAACTGTAGTGTCAAGCTCCAACGAGCCAACTTGGTAAAAAAATTAAAAAAAGGAGGGGAAACATACAAAATATGACTCCCCCTCAGCAAGAGACGTGCGGTCTTGTTTCGTGGGACCTCTATATCCCGTCCATCCATACTACCTACCCACTGTAAGTATCCAGGGTAGGCAGGATAGATGGGTGTGGTTAGCTTCTCTCTTATAACTAACTGCTATAGCTACGACTACGCTACAGCAATGCTAGCACTCATCCAGGGAGTTACAGAAAGGACTCACCCCGAGAACACAAGCAAGGCATGCGGATCCTCAGCGGCGAGACGGAGGCCCGTCACGACGTGGGCCGTGAACGTGGGCGTTTCGCCTTTTTGAAAGGGTTCGATTATCCTAACAATTATCAGCTTTAATGCTACCTTGGGAGGCGGTTTCGGATTGATATAGGGAGGTTAGTGGGCTTACCATTCGTCTTCACTGGCGCCGTTCGTTGGTCCTCTCTTGTAGATGGCGTGGCAGCAGACGATAATTAGGTGATTGAGGTGGTTGGTGGTGGGTGGGTGCATTTTGGGTCTTTGTCTTCACGATGTAGTGAAATTGAGGGTCGAGTTGTTGAGTGAAGGATGGGGGCAAGAAGCTCGAGGAAAGTTATTTACACCTGATCTATGTTGGTGTATGATTGAGCCTGGTTAACAGCCGGGTCGGCCACTGCCGTACCTTACCTAATATGGTGCCTACATCGGTCTTCCTGGGAAGCTCGCATTTATGATCCCACTAAGACATGCACAAAAACGACGAGAGCTTAACTTCTGCAAAGATCCCCCGACCAAGCTGGACTGGACCTACTATTCCAGCTAAACATCATTAATATACATACTGATCTTGTTAATCCATACAACCATGTGGCTAACCCCAGCCGCGCAACACTAAACCCCGAAGAAAGGATATGGCCATCAAAACAAAAAAAAATCAAAGGAATGATCGTCACCCACACTCAACAAACTCCATGCAATCCCATGCATGATATGCAATCGCGGAAGTATGGTATCATGTCATTAACACACAGATGCTCGGTCGCAAGGAAACCAGCTTGCCAGGCATAATAGATACCGTCAATGACGCTGAAGAATGGACAGCAGCAGAGCAGATGCAAGGTACAGTGTACACTTCGGATGTAAATTTTGGGTCGAGCAAATGCAAAGATGTATGGGAAGGAAGAATAAGAAAAGGGATGGCCAGAGGGTATCAGAGGTCAAGAAGGAAATAATATTACGGTTAGATCAACGGATCGTGGCGATATGTGCATTCGTCACCTTTGCGGCATTTCCCGCTCTGCCAGTACCGACAGGGTACAGATCCTGCCTTGGGCTATTTGCATGTTAGATCGTTGTCTGAATAGCTGGGGTCATCGAGAGATACTTACGTGCTTCTTGCCCAGGTCGTTATATTTGTTTCGCTTGGGATAACTGGACCGGTCGTCGTCGGCCCCGTCATAAGCGCCCGTCTCCCGAAGGCGCTTGCGCTCGGGATCCTCAAAATGCACAGATTGCTGAGGCATGTTACCCGCACCGGGTTGGCTCTGACCATTGATCTGGGAAAAGATGGCAGCGAGGTTAGGCGCAATGCTGGGTTGGGTCGGCGGGGCCTGCGGAGCTGTGGCCGCCGGCTGCATCTGCTTTTGGGCGTTCATGATGGCCAGAATGTTCTGAAGGTCAATGGCCTGCCCTGCTGCAGCCTGGGGAGCAGCCGAAAACTGGGGCATCTGTAGCATTGGAGGCTGAGATGCTGGCTGCGGCTGCGGCTGCGGCTGACGGAACAAGCTGAAAGTCCGCTCGAGATCTGACATTGGCGCAGGTGCCGGCTGGGTCTGAGGTGGAGGGGTCGATTTTGGTTGTTGGGGAGCACTCTGGATAATTTTGAGCAGATTCGAGATATCGAATGGGGCCTGGGCGGTGGCTGCGGGCGCGGGCGCGGGCGCGGGCGTGGCTGCAGCCGGCGGCTGAGGTTTTACCGCAGCGAAATAACGGTTTTGCCGGGCCTACGACGATACTGTCAACATAGAGTCCCACTGAGAGTAACTATACGAACTACTTACCATGACATGGTCAGGAACCTCGCCAAATGAGACCACATCGGGCACTGCTTCCTCAGTGTCGGGTTGAGGAGGCTCCTTGGGTGTGGATGGCACATCCGCTGGGGAAGTATAGAACACCATGAGAGTGGTGGCTTCACGATGCTCCTGCGCCTTCTTCTCTGCACTCTCGGGGATTTCAACGCCACCACGCTTGATGAAGTTCCGACCGCGCTCCTCAAAGGGCATCTCATCGAAATCGATTTCTAAACCCATCAGCATTCCTGGAAGAGCTGCATCGTCATCATCTTCAAGGTCACTCACCGGACGGCACAAAGTATTCAAGCAATTGCTCCTCGCGAATGCCACCCTCCTCGTCATCCTCTTCGTCAAGATCGCGGTGAAGCTTCAGTACGCTTCCTTCGCCCTTCACGTCACCCGCTTCACGCTGCATGCGATCGCCCGGACCAAGTTCCTCATCAGGATCATGCGTGAACAATCGGACTTCCGTGAGAGATTCGTCGGGCTTCCAGGTCACTCGGAGTCTGCGTCGAGCCTCCTTGCGAAGCCGCTTTTCCCGTTCCTCTTCTGTCTCGGGTGTTTTGGGCTCTGCTGGCTGCGCTGGGGCTGGCTCCTTCGGCTTGTTCAAATCTGCCATTAAATCACCAAAAGAAAAGGTCGGTCGCGGAGGTGCCGGTTGGGGTTCTCTCCTTTCCGGAGGGTTACTGTTCGAAAATATTAGGAGACTGTTCTCTTACATCATGTATAGCACCGTGGTCTTACCTGGTTTTAGCCGCTGCGGCTGCTGCACGTTCGGCATTCGATGTCCCTGGCCGTTTCGAGGCGGAAGAAAGACTACCAAACAGATTGGTTGGCTTGGGTGCTACAATATTAGTCTTCGGGCGAGAAGGCTGCGCTGAAGCTCCCTTGTTATCCAGGACTGCGTCTTGCGGTCGCTTAGGAGCGGCAACAGCGCCACCGGGCTTCGACGCATTCTTATTATTGGACGTTACAACTACTCGCTTCGTTGCCGGCTGCCCATTGCTTTCAGCATCACGGGGTCTCTTGGATCCAGCAAGCTCTGGCCGGGCGCCATCAGAAGCGGTGGCGCCAAGAACGGTGCTCGTCTGTTTACTAGGCGATCCATCCTTGGCTGCAGGCTTCGCAGAGTCCTGCTTCCTTTTGGTGGATGCCGCAGCATTGTCCATTATCTCCTGCGCCAACTTCTTGACAGCCGGACCGCCTTTCTTGACAAACCTTGGCAACAGCTTGGCCACATTCGTTTTCTGAAGGACATCCTCATCCATGGTCACAAAGCGCGAAAGCAGCTAAGAATGAAGATTAGCTTTATGGATGGACGGTACGGGGATCGGAGTCGCTTACCTTGAGGATATTCACTGTCAATGCTCCATCGAAATCGGCGGCTTGATGTCGATCTAACAAGAACGAATACATAGCTGCCACAGCAATGGGATGTTCGCCCAACCTATGAACGTCAGCATTCCATTTTGCTTTGTGACTGTAATTTTGATTCAAGCAACAAGCAACAGGAACATAGTGGCAGTAGATGCAAGCACGAAGATTTGTGGAGCCAAGCCTGTGGCCGGTCTAAAGTCAAAGAGCATTGCGGAAGCACCCAGTCTCTACCGGCAAGGATCAACTTCTTTGTTCTCCAGAGGAAAGTGAAACATGCACAGTCGTGTTGTTCTTGTTTAGGACAAGCGACTGGGGATGCCTCCGCTGTGAGGTTTGGGGGTGAGTATTCCACCCTTACTGACAAGCACTCCTTTAATAGATGCCAATACCCATACTAGGTAGACTACATGGGATAGGCTCATATTTCGTTTCTGACTTCTATAGCCACGACAACGACATGCTAGGTGCGGGAGGGAAAAGAAAAGAGAAAGGACATACTTCTCGACGATTATTGGATGGCCCATTTCCAAAGTCGCACAGACAACCACATCCATGAGACGGCGCTGCAAGACCACGTCCTTCTTCAATCGGGTCGCTTCCTCATTATTGCCTGTATTTTCCGCCGCCTTCATGGCTTGAGAGCTGTCTTTCCATGCATCTCTTACGGTCTTGACAACATCTTTGAATGCGACCAGCGCACTCTTGACCTTGTCCACATTCGGCCGTCGATTACGTGGGGACCACACAGCCTTCAAGACATCATACTTGGCAGCCGCCTCAGGCTCAGTAGGCCGAGTCGCTGGGAGGGGAGACGATTCCTCGGGATCCTGGTTCTCAATTTCAAGCTCCGAGTCTGAACTGTCGGTCTCCGATTCCGACGATTCAGCGGCTCCATCCATCTTCTTATTAGCTCCTTTGGCGGTGGTCTTCTTAGGTTGCAGGGTAGACTGTTTCTTCGTAGCGGGTTTCTTAACTGGTTTCGCGCCCTTTGCAGCCGCGTGTGATTGAGACAGATTGGGACCTAGGCGAGTTAGTGGAATCCCACCAATTAAGAGGTAACACAGCATACCGTTGATGGGTAACACAAACTCGTATGCCGATTGGGGTTTAGGAGCGATAGGCTGATTGTGTGTTACGGACTGGCCCAAGGCGGGTGGCATTTGCAGGTCTTCCCGATAGAAGTTGTAGAGCCTGAGCAGTGTAAGATAACGCGTGCAATAACAGAAGGAATTCGCGATAGACCTACTTTGGTTCATCGGGGTTGAGATAGAGAAGGTTATTGTTGTTGTGGAGAGAGGATTGTTGATTGGCAGCTTGCTGTGCAGAGCTCAGGTACTGTGGGTTAATGGTTTGTTCGGAGCCGGTCGGCGTCGACTGAGTGAATTCCGTGGGGTAGTTCATCGGGACGTGCTTGGAATCGGTTAACGACACCCTATGATGACGCAAAGTAGGTTGCCATACCGAATTTCCTTCCGCATAGCCGGCAGGCAGTGAATACTGGACATGATGTTGATGCGGATCCGGGCGGAAATGTGCTGTCTGGGGCTGTGCTTGCGCCGTCGGAGGAGAATGCGAATGGGATTGGGCGTAGACATCCGGCACGGAGAGATTCTGAGGGGGATAGTAGGATCGCGAGAATGTGTACGGTGGGAAGTGGGCGCTGTCAGAAGCGGCGATCGGCTGCGCTTCATATGCAGCATGTGTTGAGGAGAATTGCGGCGCTTGGCGATACTGAGGAGTCATACCGATCGGATGTGCGGTTGCAGGTAAAATGGGCTGCGGATGCAAAGCCGTTGCTCGCCATGACTGTGGGGTGGTCGAGGAATATAGGCCATGATTCTGATCTTGAGGGGTCGGCAATGGACTTCGTGATGGAGGATTCTGACTGAAGACTGGATGATCCCAACTAATTCCCAATGGCTGTTGTGATTGCTGCTGCTGTGCCTGTTGTGGCTGCTGTTGAGGCTGCGATTGTGGTTGAGGAGTAGGTTGTTGATGCAACTGTTGTTGTTGTTGTTGTTGATGATGTTGTTGAGGATGCGCATGTTGATGGGAAGGATCGGGGGTTGTATACAAAGGTTCGAAGTTGGTCCAGTACTCAGGTGGCGGCAATGCGCCGGGATCTACTGGTGCGCGGTGCAGACCGGGCATGATGTTCTGCGACGGTGACTGCTCCATGCTACCGGTGTCTCCTTCGCTTCCTTCTGGCACCTCGGAGTTCACGGTAGCCTTTAAATCTGCTTTAACAGTAGCAGTAGCAGCCGTTCCAGTGACAAAGGTAAGGACAGTGAGTGGGAGAGCGAGTTAAGATACTAGTATAAGTCCGGGAGTCTGTTTGTAGTTGTTGTAGTGAAAGTAGAAGGATGGATGGCCCAAAGTGGTAAAGGTCACATGCATCCACGTGCTGGATAGTTGCTTGCCAAGTTGGGATTAGATCGGGTGCCGCTCTAAGATCTCGGGAGGTGGGGGGCGCAGTCAAAACGAGCCTATTGGTCCAAGCTCCCTGAGCAACGGCGGCGCAGCAAATCTGGTCCAGCGGCCGCTGCAACGAATCAAGGATGCTGGCTGAGTTTGTCAGCTTGCAAATCGGCTGATACGTCGTAATTCAAAGGGAACAACAAGAGGGAAAGCGGTAAAGCGGCACAGCGGTAACTCCCGGCCACAGAGAGGCTCAAGATTTGCCGTTGTTTGTAAGGTCAGGTCAGGTCAGAATAAGAGTGTGGGTAGTAGAGCACTGAGAGATGAGTGGCAAAAGGTGCTGTCCTCTGGTCTGGTCCAGGCTCTCTCTCCCTCTCTCTCTCTCTCTTCCTTTTTCCTTTTAGGTAGAAATCCAAGGAATCATTGGGGGTCAACGGGGATCATCAAAGGGGGAAGCCACACCTGTACTGGGCTCTCTCTCTCTCTCTGTCTCTCTCTTAACTCTAGGCTGTGTTTGACTGAGAGAGAAGGAGAAAGAGGAAGAGAAGGGAGTTGGTGCTGCCTGCCTTCCTGTGCCTGAATTGGCTTTGCCTTTCCCTCCTTATGTCACGTCACGTTCCGTTCAAAGTTGCGCGCGCGCTGTTAATGGCACCGCAGCAGTATCTTTTTCTTGTTCTTAAACAGCAAGATTCAAGTCTCTCTTGCTCTTTGACTGCAGTTAGGCCAGTTTTGGTTCCGAATACACCGGCCAGACCTGGTACTCCGTGCTCTCCGTATAACAGACGTAGAATAATTCTTGCCTCTTCACTGGGTCTTGCACTTCTCTTTGCTTTTCCTTCCTGCAGTCTGTCTGTCTTCCCCCAAAGCACACGCTTATGCTTGTTTGTGTAGGTAACCTTGTCACTCTTCCCAGTCTGCTTCAAAGCTCTCCCGATTTCCTGTCTGCAGAGGCAATTCAGCTGGAAAAGAAAGACTTCCTGCTCGTACTGCCTGCCTGTCCGTGGTGGACCTTTTCTTCTTGTTTTCTTCTTCAGCTTTTCCTTATTCTTGATTTTAAAAAAGATGATCAGAAAAGGTGTTATACAAAGAGCCACTCTGGACGGCAGTTGAGCAGCATAGTCACTTGCTTTACGAGATGGGAGGGAGGTGATGGTAGGTGCAGTGGTGAGTGGAAGGGATTGGGGGGGAAGGGGAAAGGAATGGGGGATTGGGGGGAGGAGGAGAAGAGGAGAGGATGGTGGTTGGTAGCAAGCAGGTTGCGGTTGTCGTAAGACTGAAAAAGCCGACGGGCGGCAACTCGGTTGGGCGACGCTGGGTCGGGCTAACGCCGCTTCAGCAATAGTGCTGGTCACGTGCATGGTGGCAGTTGTGCGGTTTGCGCAGTTTGACTTGTCTGTCTGTTTTGTCTATAGGCTGCGGGATCCGCGATTACGTCAGCCCTTCCACCCATCATTGTCAGGATGCCAGGTGGTGGAGAGTGTCTCCGGTAGAGTGGTTAGTGACAAGCCCGCCAACTGCTTCTCCGAACTACATCTACTCCTGCGCGATATCTGACGCTGTCCTCTTCGTTCGTCGGAATTAGCATTTCACGACTCCCTCCTCCCTATACCTCAATTTTTTTTCCGGGTTTGCCCAGCTACCACATCCCGCCTCTACCTTGTCATGATATTGAACCAATTAAAGTGATCGTGAATCCGTCCGGGGTGCCCTGTAAGTCGCATCATGGCATCGCATTCCACCTCTCTCCGTGACCGTCAGGTCGGTAGGTTCAGCTCTCGCTCTCCATCGCCATTGCGGTCGCTCAGATCTGACCTCCTCTTTCTCTAGCTTCCATTCAAAAGCTCCTCAACTTGAATCACGATACGCACCTCACCGATGAGTCGCACCCCGATGGCTCTGCCCAGGGCCTGGTCTCGACCCCCGTCTTGAACGAGGATGGGGATCCGATTTGGAAGGTATTGGTCTTCGACAACTTGGGAAGAGACGTGATCAGCAGTGTACTTCGCGTCAACGATCTCAGAACATGGGGTGTCACAATTCATCTGTACGGGGTTCTCTGCGCGTGGAGTATAGCTCACTCGAACTTTCCGCTGACCGAAACCTCAAGGAATATTAACGCCACCCGCTATCCTATACCTGACGTCCCTGTCATCTATCTCGTCGAGCCTACCGCTGCCAACATCCAAGCGATCACCAACGACCTTGCCCGCGGCCTTTATGCCCCTGCCTACATAAACTTTCTCTCCTCAGTCCCTCGACCGCTCTTGGAAGACTTCGGTTCTCAGATCGCCACGACAGGCACGGCAGAACATGTCGCACAGGTCTTTGACCAGTACCTAAACTTCATTGTCGCGGAGCCAGACCTCTTCAGCCTGGGTTTGGGCAATGATGCTTACTGGAAGATCAACAGCGCGCAAACAAGTGACGACGATTTAGATGCCATTGTCGATCGGATTGTTAGCGGGCTGTTCAGCGTCAGTGTGACGATGGGTATGCTATAAGTCTCCGTTTTGGCTGATTGTTAGCTAACGCGAAATAGGTTCCATTCCGATCATCAGATGTCCAAAGGGCGGGGCGGCCGAGCTGATAGCTACCAAGCTCGACCGCAAGCTCCGTGATCACATCCTCAACTCGAAAGACAACCTCTTCTCCAGCAAAAAGTCCACCCCCGGCGTCCCTTCATCGCGGCCGGTTCTCGTCATCGTCGATCGCAATGTGGATCTAGTCCCTATGCTCTCCCACTCTTGGACGTACCAGTCCCTTGTCCAGGATGTCTTACAGATGCGCCTTAATCGAATCACGGTCGAGACAACGGATGAAGCAAACCCTGCGAAGGGTGTAACGAAGCGCGCGTATGATTTGAACAGTAATGACTTCTTTTGGAAGCGCAACGCTGGCGCGCCCTTCCCGCAGGTGGCCGAGGACATCGACGCCGAATTGACACGATACAAGGAGGACGCCAACGACATCACCAAAAAGACCGGCGCGTCTTCAATTGAAGACCTGCAGAACGACACTAGTGCCTCTGCGCAGCACCTCAAGGCGGCCATCACGCTACTTCCCGAACTGCGAGAACGGAAGGCCATTCTCGACATGCACATGAACATCGCAACTGCCCTGCTGAAGGGCATCAAAGACCGCCAGCTGGACAACTTCTTCGAGCTCGAAGAAAACATCACCAAGCAGTCCAAGACGCAGATCATGGACCTGATCAACGACGCCACGAAAGGCAACAACCCGACCGACAAGCTCCGCCTATTCATCATCTGGTTCCTGAGCACGGAGACGGAAGTGTCGCGCGCCGAGATGAGCCAGTTCGAAGAGGCCCTCACGCGAATGGGCGTGCAGGACGTCAGCCCGCTCTCGTACGTCCGGCAAGTGCGCGAGCTCACGCGTATGACGATGATGACAACCGCCACGGCCGGCGCGCCGCAGCAACAACAGCAACAATCCTCCAACCTCTTCCGCGGCTTCTCCTCGCTCTCCAACCAGCTGACGGACCGCATCACCTCGGGCGCGCTGGGCGCCAACTTCGACTCGCTCATCTCGGGCGTCAAGAACTTCCTCCCGGCCAACAAGGACCTCACCCTCACCAAGATCACCGAGTCGATCATGGACCCGGCCTCGGCCTCCAGCTCCGCCATCGCCAAGACCGAAAACTACCTCTACTTCGACCCGCGCAGCGCCAACGCCCGCGGCGCCATGCCCCCGGCCTCCGCATCCCGCAACACCGCCCAGGGCGCCCCGGGCTTCGGCGTCGCCGGCGCCGGCACCAGCGCCACCTTCGGCCAGCGCCGCCAGGGCTTCAACGAGGCCATCGTCTTCACCGTCGGCGGCGGCAGCATGGACGAGTACGGCAACCTGCAGGACTGGGTTCTTCGCGCGAACGGCCAGCAGGATAGCGCCGGCGCCGGCGCCGGTGCCGGGAACCGGGGCGCTGCCTTCACCGGGCCCCGACGGCGCGTCGTCTACGGCAGTACGGATCTAATGAACGCGAACGAATTCCTGACGGAGTCTTTGGCGAAGTTGGGTCGGGAGGGCTAGATTATTTTATCGGGTGTTAAGTTCCGGATTGAACGGCGTGAGGGGCGCCGGGGGTAAGTCACGGATGAACTCCGACCTCAGGCCTCCCTTCCCTTCACACATCACACCTATTATAGTACAGTAGTTACCTTGAACCTAATTCGACACGCTCACGCTTATGTGACTCTTTAAACAATGAATGCACCTTACTACTCCACTCATAGCTTGATACTATATATGAGCAACTACCTCACCCACTGCTTGATACTCGCACTTTGTCATGTGAGCAAGACTCTTCATCATTGTTACAAAACACATCTCATGATCTACCTCCAGTAATGTAGCGCATCGAATTAACACTAGTGATGACTACGCACGAATGCTAGGCATAGAAACGAAAACAACACAACGAAGAATCAATACAATCGTCCCCCAGCCCTCTCTCCCCCTCCAGCAGTACGTGACTGCGGACGGAGTCTGTCTGTCCAGATATCCACAAACGAATGAAGAAAACGAACCCCTCCCTCCCCTCCAGGTGTCCACGCCACTCACTCTTCAAAGCACAAAAAAAGCCCACCTGGCTAGCAACGGTACAACGGATGTTTCGCAGTAAGATAGTAAGCAAGTATTCAGTTGTGCAGCTAGCAACCCAACGCATCCTGACTTGTTATTGCAGCGGGAGGGAAAAGAATCTACATCGCCTCCTTCTCGCGCTTAACGCTCCGCACGGCGATATCGTGCTCCACAGCAATGTTGTAGCCCATTTCCAAATCGTGATGGTGGGACTTTGGCGGGTCGGCGTAGCAGGTGGTTCCTGTGCCTGTGGCGGTTCCGGTCTTGGAGGCGAGGGGGTTGGTGGCGGTGGAGGCGCTAGAGGCTGTTGCATCGCTGGGGTGGGAGAAGGAGAGAAAATGCCACAGGTTGCGGCGGGAGGAGGTCGAGGTTGTGTGGGTGCTGGAGGGGTGGTCGAGGGCGACGCCGGCCCAGAGGGAGGAGAGCGGGAGGGAGATGGTTACCAGGGTGAGGACGTTGAAGGAGAGCTCGGGGACGTTGACGGCGTAGTGGAGGATTGAGAAGAGGGCTGCATAGGGGGGGAGTTAATCTTGTTGGTTGGTGGAAGGGTGGGAGAGCTGGGGAGGCTACGTACCGGGCACAACGAGCGTCTGGCAGCCCATCACGAAGATTACTTTCATAGGCCCGAAGTCCGCGACGCCTAGGCGTCTGCGTTGGTGGATGGCGAAGCCGAGTTTGGCGACGAAGACCGCGCAGAAGAAGCAGATGCTGATCGTTATGGTGATGTTCTCGGCGCTTTGGAGCCAGATCAGCGGCGCGCTGCTCGCTGCTTCGGTGATTGCCTTGCAGTTCTCCACCATCAGCCCTAGGCGGAACCCAATAGGGATCAGGGCGATGATGATCGAGAGCCCGAGCAGGGGCCGTCGATAGCGGCGCCGGAGGTTGGCGCACACGACCTGCACCTGGAGGACGAGGGAGATTTCGATGCAGATTAGAAGGAGCGTGCGCAGGACGACGGCCAGGACGGAGTTCGCGTAGGTGGATTGTGGCACGCGGGAGTAGTCGCTGCCAAAGTATGCGTAGACTCGCACGAACGGGGAGGTGAAGTACAGGGTCTGGCAGAAGAGCATGCTGATGTTGAGAAGCAAAGCAGAGCAGTTGAGGATGTAGACGCCGGAGCGGCGCTTCTCGGGCCTTGTCAGCAGTAGCAGGATGACCAGCAGCACGACGCTGGCTCCGAGCTGCGCTCCGTAGTTGATGCAGATGCGGATGCAGTACTGTATGAAGAAGTCCACGGCTTCCACGGGGACGTCGAAAGGAGTGCCGTCGGCCGCGTGGAAGGTGACGTTCTGAGTGAACGGATCGAATTCCGATTCCGAGCTCATGATGGCGATTCGATCAACGAATTGCGGTTCTGTCGGGCTTGGATGTTGCTGTAGATCGTAGAGAGCGAGAGATAGGAGTAGAGAGCGTGGTCAGGTCAAGAAAGCTGTTCGCACGATGGCAGAAAAGATGGAGGGCATCCAGGCAGTGAACTTTGCATGATCCAAAGCACAATGCTAGTGTTCCTAAGCAAGGCATCCCAGTCGGTATCAATGAATATATGGCCAGATTCATTGCCGGTGATATTGTCTATGCAGTGCAACCCCGAGACAGACAATACTTCAACTGGATCAGGGATGAAGTATAACAATATGAGAATGAGAACACCATGGATCCCATTCTCATACAATGCCAATCATCATTTTGTCCCTTGATATAGTGCTTGACAAGTAATTCTTGGACAAACTTAACAGCTGAGACAGACAATAGCAAGGTCAAGTCAAGAACAATGGTAAGTCTGAAGGGTGGGCCATGATCAGCGCACGGTGCTTGACACATGCGAGTCGAGCGATAGGAAGTACCACGTCCAACTCATGACCTGGGAGATCGGTAGATTCTTGATGGTACACTGAGGAGACTTGAGACCTCGTCTGGTCGTACTCTCATGTTGATCTATCATTATGATGGGTCCATGGCCGAGGCCAACCATTCTGTGGAGGGTGCTGTATCCAGACGGCGATTCGAACTGTTCCTGAGACCTAGAATGCCAATTTTGGGGATATCTTTTCACCACGATACCAGGTGACTCGTTTCAGGGGCTATTGCATTTTTCATTATGGCTTGAACATCTTGGTTATGAGATTCGGACGATAGCGCTTGCTGTCGCACTACTATGTCGAAGAGAGCGCTGCATGGAGCATAGTGTTAAGTGTTATCATGTATGTCTCCGCTTGATCTAAAACGCGATCATGGTAGAAATTGCAATCTCTCCAGCCTGACGAAACAAAAGTCCTGACTTTCGACCCTATAATAGCTCCAGTGAAGCTATGTCCAGAGTGACAATCGTTTGTTGTGGCAGTTGATATAAATGCGGGGGTGGAGTGGAGTGAGTAGTTAAGTGGAAGACTGATTGACAGTTGATACTCCGGAGAGCCACGCGCGGTGCGATGATCGGCCGCTGACCTCAACTCCTCCGCCCGCCTCCAACTCCAACTCATCCCCCACCATGCGACGACAACTTCCACTGTCTTTCCCCACCTCAGCTCCCTCGCAATGGCTGCAGTGCCGCAGAGGACGCTCAACTGGCTCTATGGCGTCTTGACCCGAGTAAGTGCTTGCGAATGGCTTTTCGCTAGAGCATCACTGACTGTGCCCCAGGATCACTATGATCCCAGATTAACCTACCAAGACCCCAACCGGACCTACCACGATGTCGCGAATGCACTTGCTCAATATCCATCTCTCGCTCCTCGAACTGAGGTCTACAGTATGTGATATCCTTGCTAGCCCGACGTGGTCTGCTTTCCGTTGCTCCGTAACTGACCACTTGTGTGTTGATCCAGCCTACGAAACCGGCTTCTCGGCCCTACTCCTCCAACTATCCGGTACGCTCCCAGTGTCATTTCGCGGCACTGTGTATAAATTTCCAGTCACGATATGGATTTCGAATACCTATCCTCGAGACCCTCCAATCGTTTACGTCACACCAACCCAAGATATGGCGGTGCGTGTAGGGCAGCACGTAACATTAGAGGGGAGGGTGTACCATCACTACTTGGCACACTGGGCTGGAGCATGGGAGGTCAGTAGTCTCAGAATCCCGTGGCGCGCGCAGAAGCCTGACCCGTTCATTACAGAGATCATCCCTCGTCGACTTCTTGTTGATCCTGCGAGAGGTTTTCGCGAAGGAGCCGCCCGTGAGATACAAACAACAGCCACCCGTACAGCAGCGACCACCGCAATCAGCGCAGGTGCAGGCACCTCCTCCTCTGCCTCCTCTGCCCCCCGAGCTCGACTCATCTCCAAGACGCCCCGCGGCGACTCAAAGCCCGTCTGTTGCGCCCATGCAGCTCCACGCTCATGCGCCGCCTCCGCCTCCTCCGAAACCTGGCCAAGCTCCGGGTCCAGAATCACAGTCGCAGCGGTCCTCACCCGCAGGACGATACGATTCCCCTCCTCCGCTTCCTCCATTACCACCTAAAGAACAAGACCTCCGGAGGCTGTCTTTCCAGCAACAACCAGGCACCAACGGCCCCGTGGCTCGACCTTCGCAGTATCCTCCAGTGCACAGCAGCATCGCTCCCCAGCCGACTGGGAACCCGTACCAACATCCCCAGCATGCACCTCCACCAGCGACCGGCTACCCTTCAGGACATGCATACGCCCAGTCTATGAACAATGCGCCCACAGGTCCACCACAGGACTACGGGCGCGTGCCTCATCAGCCTGTCCCAGCTCAAGTCCCGCCACGACAGACACCTCTGGCACATGCTGCATACTCTCAAAGACCACTTCAGCAGGGCCACGCCCAGCCCTCGCCTCAACCCCAGTATCAACAGCCCATACCAGTGCAGCAGCAGCGCCCTAAATCCGAAACGCCCGACCTTCTTACCTCGCCTTTCGAGCTCGAGCTCCCCTCATTCACACCCACCGGCCCCGCGCCCCCGATTCCTCCCAACCCCGAAAAAGACGCTCTCCTCCAGGCCGTCTCCAAGACGCTGTCTGAAACCTTGCAGACCAACATTGGGCAATCCGAATCGGCCGCGCACTCTCTCCTCTCCCAATCCCACTCCCTCCACGCGGCCATCGCAACGCTTCAGGGGGAGATCTCGTCACTGAATGCCCTAAACGCAACTCTCCAGTCGAACACTTCCATCCTCCAGCAGACCCTCCACCGCGCAGATGGTGTGATTGTCGACGCGCAGACCCGTATCTCCTCATTATCAGGAGCCCCCTCCTCCAGCACTGCGGATGCTACCGCAGCCGCATCTGGCGGTTTACCGCCCATCGATGAAGTGCTCGTGGCGCCCACCGTCGTCGGCAAACAACTCTACGATCTCGTCGCGGAGGAGCGCGGCATTCAGCAAGCGATCTATGCTCTTCAGGCCGCATTGGTGAAGGGAGTCATCGGGGTGGAAACGTGGTCACGGCATACACGTGGACTCGCGCGCGAAGCCTTCTTGAAGAGGGCTCTAATCCGGAAGATCGGGAAGGGAATGGGGTTGGAAGTGGAGGAGGTTTTCTGAGTGATGCGAGGGTTTGGTGTGTTTCTTTTTTTAGAACGGGTGGGATGTACATAGATGCGTAGGACTGTTGAGCCGTGCAGATGCTGTTTCTGTATGGCTGCGAATGTATATATGAGTTGAGCTCGACGTGGGCGGACGATTTAGGCATTCTCTATGACCTACAATCCCACAGATCGTAAGTCCACATAACCTCTATTTGAGTCACCTCCCGCTGAGTACTTTTCTTGATACGAGTAGAATCGGAACCCCAATTCCCTTGAACAAACCCGGCCAAACAGTACCGACCGTCTAACACCCACTCCCCCAGAACCACACCGATCCCCAACCGTCTCCACCATCTCAGAAGCACCAAACGCGATCAAGCCCCTCATCCCGAGGATTGGTCGTTTCCAAAACACTGTCTCAACCCTAGTGAACTCTGTCCCTGTCCTCGAATCACAGCCTCGAACGATCCCAGGCAAGTGACAGGTACCAGGGGCAATACAGCTATCTTACAGCCAATTCAGGTCTCGTATCAAAATTGCCAGTGCTCTGATCTTCTTCCCAGGTAAATGTGAGAGGAGCCGATGCAAGATATGAGCTGTAGGTTGATGATGGATCTTGAGGAGAGAATGAAAATTATGCTTTGTGGTTGATGTGTTGGTTGCTTCTTTAGCATAATGCATAGAGCAAGTTCGATTGAAAGTTTACAATGGTTATCGCCTGCGCATGTTTGGGTCGTGTATTCCCGGCCTTCTTTAATGGATGTGTTGTGTGTTGGCTTCTTTGTACTGCGTGTGGTATATGAGGTAGAATGGTTCAATTGAGGTTTATTAGAACGATATAGATGTTGTCAATTCCTAATAAATGCTGTGTAGATCTAATCTAGTGGATCGATATATAAACTAAACAGCTACTGCAGTGCGCAACTCGGACAGATGCAATCAGTCACGTGGTGCTAAAGAGCCATCATCTGCACTGTCATCTTGGACGACTCGAAGGATCTGGAGAATTCATTGAAAAGGATCATACTGGGCCCATCAGTTGCATGAGTGCTATATCTGTTTAAGTGTTAATCGAGGAGGGTGGTTAGTGCCACGTGCTCAGATCTTCAATCAATCTGCTGATATATACTTGATCAGAAGACTCGCCGACTATACTTATATGTGGTATGACATGCACCCCTCGACCTCAACACAGCTGCAAGCAGTTGCTTGACCGGGTCTTAGCTAAATGAATGTGCTTGGATCTAACAATCAACAACAACCATTAGCGTCCGAGAATCACCGTCATGTTCTCTAAATCAGAAGACCGTGAGTGAACATCAGCAGCCTGGTTTTCGGGGCATCCGACCGAGAATTCAGGTCGGGTCTAGGGAGACTAGTCTCTTTGGGTTTAGACTTGCACCTCCGGGCTATTCTTAGGAAGACAACAACAACTCGGCTATTCAATTCCAACGAAGTGGCGGGACAAAAAGGTGGCACGGATGACATCAACCTTTAGCCTAACCACGCTAGTCAGGGATACTTTCTTGACTTGACCTGACCTGCCATGATCACATTGTATGAGCATCGACTTAGTCCAGTCAGAGGTAGTTGAGAGAGCGGATATTTGCCACTGTCGGATGGTTCCGCACACAAACACCAACCTTTGGGTTGGGTCTGTAGGTGGAGAGTCAGAAAACTGTGGTGTCCTTAATTTGTGGTCTCTTTCTCCGCCCACAGCAACTCCTCTAATGGGCAATTGGGCATGCAGCAACAGCACACAGCCATCCCAAACTCTGTGCCCCAACCGGAATTAAGTGCCCGTTATTGGTCAACCCGGCGGCTAGACATCTCCGCTTGGTGTGCATACGAGCGTAGGTACTGTACATACCTTGGTAGGTCTTTAGAATTCTCCTGCCAACGCACCCAGTACATGTAGTTTGTGGCTCACCCGAGATCCCTAGTAATCTCCTATATATATCCTCCACTTAGCGACAACGCCTTCCACGCGACTAGATCGCCAGATGGACTAGACCAGACTACTAATAAGTGACTAACTGTGATTACGAGCTGCTGCTGCTTTTGCTGCTGCTGCCAGGCGTAAGACATGCAGCGGTGTGCAGCACGCCACAGAGCGGAACCTTCCCGTACAAGTAAATGGATTCCATGGTAACGTTAATTGACCGCCAACCTCTGTTCCTGAGACGCCCATGCAGCGTGCAGGCTTGATCTTGCAGGTGAACTTGCGGAGAGAATATGCATGTGGTATTATCATCCGCATACGGAGTATGTCCTGAATCTACGAGTACATGGGATGGATCAGGTGGGTATACCGCCGTGCCCTCGTGTCACTGTGGCTGGGTGGGTATACTTGTCATCAGCTTCAGTTTTTCCTGACTACGTACCGTATACTTTAATACCAGAAGAGAAGTGGCTGCGACTTCGGATCCTTCGAGCTCGTGTCGCGATGGTGGCAGCTTAGATTTAGTTGATTCGTGAATCATTCTGTCGAGCATTGTCTCGTTGATGGCTTGATTTGGTTTAAGTTGGATCTTGCAAGTTGATCGGGCTTCGTCTGCAAAGCCCTCCCTTCGAGCATACACCCATTTGGATACTCTTGCTAAATCAACGATAGGCATCTCGCTTAGCTCCTGCCCTTATTCTTATCAGATCAGACTACCCAGGCGATAGATTAGACGGTCGCTCCGTTTATGCCGCGGCCGGATGCAGCTAGCTCGACGCTGGCCCATCGGCTCATTCTTTAGCGAAGTATAGACTCTTCCTTCGCGATCTATACTAAAAATCCAGAGTTGAAGTGTAGAAATTATGATTTGAGCGTGAAGAAGCGTGTCTCTATTGCTAAAAAGGAGTCATAATTGTGAGGACAAGTGGGCTAAATTCCAATGATTATATCGGATTAGCATCATCTGTCCAGAGGTAATTTTATACAGCAATAGATTAACCTTCGTTGGAGATCGAAATAAGCTATATGGCATTCGTCGACAATACCAAGATCTTTCCTATGGCAAGCCACTCTGCTGGGCATGCAGCTGCACTCCTGTTGACATCCTATATATATAGAACACGAGAAAGTCACCAGGTACGAGCAACCTACAACAGTAAGTAACCTCAATCTAAAAGTAGCACACAGTCACACCGTGTATGTCTGTAGCATCGGTGGAAATTATCCTTAGGAACCCAGCAACAGCACAACTGACACCCGCCAGACCAGCAACACAAAAGACCACTACGGTCGTACAGCTAATTAACCACCATGTACCAATTCCAGCTAGTCAGCCCCCGGTCCCAGAGACGCTCCTGAGTCCTGACATATCTCTTCTCAAAGCCCTCATGCACCGCAGTCAATAATGATAGTCGAGCCAGAAGATCGTGGAGCATCCGACGATAGCTAGTTCCACCCATCTCCTATTTCCCCAAGTCTACCTTCTTCAAGCAGACAGCCGTCTCCTTTTCAATAACACTACAAGAAGACTATTTGCAGGTGATTTTCAGATGCGCGCACCCCAATCCGATATCCACCGGACCTGTCAAACGACGGCAATCTACCTGGAACACGGGACCGCGAAGCGAGACTAGCAGCCCTCTTGGTTCTTGGCTATATCCTTGGGTCAGAGATCGACGTTGGAAGTATTTGAAGGCCCTCCTGAATAGACTTGATTTTTTCAAAGCGTACAGTAGGATTGGGATGGTGGTGTACTGTGGATGGTAGGTATAGGTATGTGGTCAAATGTTTCCAATTCAACCGTTGACACATGCTACTTGCTTGCTTGCTTGCTGCCTTTCTCGCGGGATGAGATGGTGTGCATCTCAGCTACTGTATCATTTTCCCTAGGACCAAGAACATGGCAAATAATTGCTGCAGGTACGAGATCCAATGCAGAGCAGTCCAAAGCAACAGCAGTACCTACTCCACCGGCGGTATGCAGCCCCGCCAGCCAATCAGCCTGCGGAATCAGATGCCGACCGGGAATGCAGGGGAAAGACCTCACCTAACTTTTTCGGAAAGCTGTGAAAGAAATTCGGTCATGGATTGACCCCCGAAAAAAAGTGCAATTAAAATTCAGTTTCGAAGGACGAGCTTCAATCTGTTTGGTTGAGATTGGAGACACCCGACCACAATTAGTATTACTTGGTAGAGTAAGTGAGCGACAAGGCCGCCTATTAGCTAATATCAGCAGTGCTCCCCAGCCGCTTTGAAACCGCGGGTTGACGATTGATGCCCTGACCATTGAGCATGACCATTCAGGCTGGTGGGCTGGGGCGGTGACGATCCCTAGACAGAGGGTCTTGGCAAGAATTAAGGATATCTTAGAAATTAGCGTCCTCCAGATTGAACCAACAGCCGTTTAACACGGTCCTTTTTTTTAGTTCCTTTTTTTAAATGTCCTCTTTTTTTTTTTTTTTTTTTTTTTTTTT